TATATTTAATATATATCTTAAAGTATAATTAATATATGTTTATATATTAAATATACTTTACACAGAAAAAATATTAATATATGTTTTGTAAAATATTTAATATATGTTTAATGTATATGTTTTGTAATGTATGTTTAGTATATATGTAATATATGTTTAGTATTTATGTTTTGTATGTTTTGTATATTTTGTAATATATGATTAGTATATATGTTTTGTAAATATTTAATATATGTTTAGTATATTTAATATATATATTAAAGTATATTTAATATATCTTTATATATTAAACGTAACATATAGTAACATATATTAAATATTTACAAAACATATATACTAGACATATATTACAGAATATACAAACATACAAAACATAAATACTAAACATATATTACAAAATATATATACTAAACATATATTACAAAACATATATACTAAACATATATTAAATATTTTACAAAACATATATTAATATTTTTTTCTGTGTAAAGTATATTTAATATATATCTTAAAGTATAATTAATATATGTTTATATATTAAATATACTTTACACAGAAAAAATATTAATATATGTTTTGTAAAATATTTAATATATGTTTAATATATATGTTTAGTATATATGTAATATATGTTTAGTATTTATGTTTTGTATGTTTTGTATATTTTGTAATATACGATTAGTATATATGTTTTGTAAATATTTAATATATGTTTAGTATATTTAATATGTATATATTAAAGTATATTTAATACATGTTTAAACGTGAAAACGAAACGAATGATAAGTCTACTACTTCTCCTTATCATTTCTATCCAGTGATATCGTACCGACGAGTTCAAAAAAAAAAGGGAAAGAAAGCGACGAATTATTGCATACGGCTCGGCCAGCGAACCGGTTGCCAGCGCAAGGGGTTAAACAAGAACGATTTTCTTTGGCGTTGGCTCCTTTCGATCTGCCGAATCTGCCGCGGCGGTGTGTTGTCATCAGGGAATCGATCCGTGTTTCGCAAAGAGGCGGAAAGAGCAGATGAACGAGTGGCACGAGAGAGGGGAGGAGATGGGCTCCCGCGTCCGCGGCAATTCGTTAAGACGCTTAGTTAAGCAAACAAGAGCGGAGAGTCGGTGGGAAACGATATACGTGCCACGGCAGAAAATCCACGGCTCTGTCTGTTGGTAATTGCGCGCAGCTGTGTTATAGCGCACGGAGATACCGAACGTCAGCTCACGTACCGCTTTCCCTCCACCGCCGGTCGCGAATCGAACCGCGCCGAACGATTCCCGATTCGCGCGACCTTCTCCCGCGAGCACCGAGGGACAAGGGACATTTTGAAAATGAGACAACGACGAGTGTATTTGTTCCCTCCGCCGTGAACTCGCGCGTGGGACAAAAAAAGGCGACGAGGACGAGTGGACGAGTAGTAGGTGTACGGATCGATCGCGAACACAGTTTCCGAAGGAAACGACCTCACCATCGCGGCATACTGGCCTTATGTTTATACATATGTCCTGCACATGGTACGGCGCTACTCGCCGGAGAGGCGATCGCGCGCGCGACCGGGTAGAAACGTAATTTCCAATATTAGAACGGGCAACCAGGAGGAGGCAGCCAGGCAACCGGACCAGATGTCTGCCGGTACTGACTACCCGAAGAGAGAGAGAGAGAGAGAGAGAGAGAGAGAGAGAGAGAACCGTACGTTTGGCTTCCTTTCATTACAAAAATGTCACGCACAGCCATCGTGTGTGTATGTTTTCTTGCTCGCAACGGCCTTTGACGGTGAGCCCGCGTTCCTCTCTCCCTCCTCCGTTCACCCTCTTCTTCAACGCGTCATCGCGTAACGAAGAACACGCGCGGCGCAACGCGATTCGAATCGCGAGCAAGTGAACTCGGAGCGCGGAGCTTTCGAAAGCTTTCTCTCGAACCGGCGACCAAGCGACGACTTCCCCACCACCGCGATAACCACTCGTTTACGCTGCTGGCAAGAAACGCTCGGCTGCTGGGGCAACCAGTTGCGAAGCTCAAACTCGTTCGCGTTACGAAGATGTCACGAGCAGACACGCGTCGCGTTCAGCTCGGCATTTGACGTTTCGCTCGTCGCGCTTGCCCACGTATCCGCAGCTCTCTCTCTCTCTCTCCGACTCTCTGACTCTCTGTCCGGGATAAACGCGATGAGAAATTGCGGTGTACCGAAAAACAGCGCGCGTGCAACCGATTACGCGCCCCCTCCCCCTTTCATAGCACTGATCACTGTGTGACTATTTCTGTCACTTTAGAAACATTTCTCATCTTTCAAGAAGAATTCTTGAACGCCATTAGTTTGCTCGCGTCGTTGACGAAAGAAGAACACAGGAGGAACAATCAATCGCGAGTCGAAACGTCCCCGTCGCGGGGTGCAAGGAGTCGTCGTCTCTCTTTAAAGCGCGGGATCTGGTCGCGACACCTGACCGACTTGTTGGTCAGCGTGTATGCCAGGTTTATCAGAAGCAGGAGAAGACGAGAGTACGAGAGCGACAGGGGAGGAAAAAAGATAAAAAGAAAAGCAAGAGGAGAAACCGAGAGAGAGAGAGAGAGAGAGAGAGAAAGCGCGCAAGATTAATAATATAGGAAAGCCAAAGCCATGCCACCCTCCGACGAGTTTTCCTCTGCCTCACTTCTGTTGCCAACAGTTAATCGATATAATACTTGAGATGAGAGTACAGCGGGCCAACGATAGCGCGTGTCTCGCGCCGCTACGTAGTACATATGCACGCACACGCGGCCGAATCTGCGTCCACGAGCTCCGAGCGAACGCGCATTCGTGTTTTACCATTCCGTTATCCTTCGACACCTATTCCGCGATAATCCAATTCTCTCTAACTCTTCGCCGGCCGATCGATCGGTCGATCGTTAATCAAACAAAATTGCGAAATCGGCTGCTATCGACGATCGTGCAACCGTGCACGCGGCGATTAAAGATGGGATTTCTTACGAGCGTCAGACGCATGCACGTCGAATGCATTTACGCGGATATATGTTCCTGCTTTTCTATGCGTGGCCTTGGCGAAATCGCTTCAAACGTCCGCCGCAACAATTAAGGAAGATACGATAGCGGTGAATAATTAACTTGTACATCTTCCATTATAGCTCGATGGATTCCCGAATGTTACGGATGGACGATCTTTCGTGCGACAGAGATTTTGCCAGTTGTTCCCGTTTCTCGAATAATCGCATGATAGAAAAAAACAGAAATGGTCGACGAAATCTCAGGTAAACACTGAAAAAAATCGTCCAGCTCGTCGAGGTCAGTGATGTCCGGGGATTTTCCCGAATTAAAAGATATATCAATTATTTTTCAGACCGTTCATTATTTTCTTCATTATTTTATTCTTTCTTTTACTTTTATTCGTCGGATTAAACTGCAGCGCATGTTCGGAGCAATTTTAATAAAATGAAGGAAGGAAGAAACGTGCAACCGTTTTTTTCATTGTAATCAGAACGAATCCCAAAAACAGATCACAAGAATAGGTAAACAAAAATTACGATACAACGTAAAAATGAAAATTATATTACTTCTCGAGTTTAATGCAGTGCATGTTGGAAAATTGCGCGCAGAAAAACAGGAACATCCAGGGAAAAATCGCAAAACGCAGTCTCCTAACGTGCCTCGATCTTGATACGACTTTCTAACTTCTAAAAATCGCGTTCTCGAAACTAGATGCTTCAGAGCTCTCTCTCTCTCTCTCTCGTTCGAGTCACTTACGATCACTGAAAAGACGTGAAACGAAATCGGCCGGCAAATCGAAAATCGCAAGGATTTAACCGTTCGGGCGAGATGTACAACGATCGAGCTCGAGCAAGGGAGGTGACGCGACGTCGATTCGGTTAATCGCGAGGAGGTACGCCGCCGATTATCGTGCGAAACGATGCACCTGACGGTTTTCCTACTTGGGTCTTCCTACTCGCATCCATCTACCGTTTCTCGAAGAAGGCTCGAGTTTCCCCGAGCATCGAGCACGACTGGCTGCTAGCTGCTGGCTGCCTTCCGGCTGCCTTCCTCTCTTCCCTTCGTTCGACACACACGTGCGCGCACGGGATGTCGTCCCGTTTACTTCAACGAGAACCGCCTGGCGACAGTTGTGTCTCCTTTTTTTTTTTTTTTTCTTTCTTTGCGTTTCAAACGGTGCCGGCCGCGGTCGCTTCGTATTTATTCATTCCAGTCCAAAGCGTTGCTTTGCCACGGCGATTCGAAAGCAAAGCTAAATTTTGAAAGCTAGACGATTAACCTCTTGCGCCGGAACTTTCCAAGTTGAAAATTCTCTCAGTTCTACGTATATTGAAATGTGACCCAGGCAGAACGAATTATAAGTTTATTTACTTCTTAGTAATCTCTAAAAAAAAAAAAAAAAAAGGAAAAGAAAGCGACGAATTGTTGTACACGGTCACTCGTTATGGTCCGCGGACCAGCGCAAGGGGTTAAACACGGTGCGGCGCGAGATTTCACGTTATCCAGCGGTTAGAAACGAGATGAGAGATGTGCCTACCTTCTCCGATCGGCGATCGGGCTTCCGGTCCTCTCGAACCCTCCAGGAAATCCAAAAGATCGTCCGTAGCACGACCGCGCGACTTCTCGATCGTCGTGTCACCGGCGACGCGAGTATCTAGCGAAATCCGCGAGATCGACGCGCGACCACCACAACCACGCGTTTCATCGTTTCGTCCAACCACCGTTTTCTTCTGCGGACGATCGCGAACGATCGAGCAACGAACGGCGGCTGTTGGTAGAAACGCGCGACGCGAGGAGAAAGGACGAAGAGAGCAGAGAGAACGAACGAACGAACGAACGAGGGGGATTTCGCGGGCGAGAGACAGGGCGTGCGCGATAGGAAGGAACGCGAAGCACGGACGGCTGTCGCCAGCCGACTGAACGTCTCGTCGCATCGGAGAACTGGAAGAACGGCGCCGACCGGAGGAGGACGAGGAAGAGAGGTGGTGGCTTGCAACCTCGACCACGCAACCTCTACGCTCGCTCCATGGCTGCACCAGCGATTCTTCTAGTCACCGTACTCCGCACTCTGGATCATCGAAACAACGTTCCCCCTGGCCAGTGTACGGACTTCGAACTTGGCCGTTTCTCCTTTTTTTCTTCTTCTTCTTTCTCCCTCTTCATAAAGCGAAACTACCACTCTCTGTAAATAGAGATCGTGAAAGCAAACTTGCACGGCAGACGTACGCGTTTGAAAGCTGCGCGAACGAGCCGTGGTATAGCAGCCCGACAGGTATAGGTATATACGCGTGGGTATCGTAAACGGGCCAGTTTGCTCCTGACGCGTCGATATATTCTCGCGAAGGAAGTCTCTGCGGGTGAAACTGAGAAATAGCCCGCCATCCTCTCGCTTCTCCTTTCCTCTACTCTTATTTTCGCGACGATCTTCGTACGACCACGTCGCGCCGTGTCTCTCCGGTACCTTCGTATCTCGCGCGACTCGCGTTCCACGTGACCGGGTGAGAAAACATCGCAGCGAAGAGGAAGAGGAGAGAGAGAGAGAGAGAAAGAGAAGGCGAAAGATCGTCCTAGTTTCGCGCGTTGATTTCACGTCGATTTGCGCACGTATTGACTGGACCGTTCGGTATATCGAGATCGATCGGCCGTTCGCTCGAGAACGCGGCAACGTTCACGCACGCTTCAAACTTGCAAGTATCTATGCACGTAGTCGAGATCCCATAGCCACGCTTCTCTATACTCCGAACCAACGTCAACTATCTATACGCGTATGCGCGCCAGTATACTATCCACATCTCTCTATTCCCGGTTCTAGTCCCTGTTCCTCTCCCTGCCCCTGCTTATCGGCACAAATTCATGCGCGACCACCACCGACACACGCGCGCCGCACCACCGGCCTATTATACGTATTATTAGCACTCCGTCACAGTCCTGTCATCGGCATGTACGCTCCTCTACGCGCGCGCCTCACCACGCCGAAATTCCCGAATAACAACACCACACACCATGGTTTCCCATGGCCCCCGTCTTTCCACGAATTTTCCTACCGCGACAGAGATCATCGCTTCGAAACTGGCTCTGCGAACACGAGAGAACGTCGCGAGAATCGTTTTCTCCGACGCTGTCTGCGGTTATTCGCGGTTGTTCGAAGACGAAAAAAAAGGTATACCGGTCGCCTCTCGTCGCTACAGTTGGACGTGTTATTGCCATTCGCGTTGCGATTTCAACGCAAAGTTTCGATTCGTCGGACGGGTAATCGTAAGTTTGAACGGGGTGATGCCGTCACTCGCAGGCATCAACGAAACTCCGCGCGCACTCGTAATTTACGACTTATCGGCTCTGATTCGAGTAATTTTCGCGCTTGTGAAAATTATACCGACGTGGCTCGTGCTCGTCCAACAAATTTCCACCCTTCCTCCCTCTCTCTCTCTTTGTCCCTAGTCACCTCTTTCCTTTTCCTCCCCTTTCTCTCTCTCTCTCTCTCTCTCTCTCTCTCTCTCTCTCTTCCAACCAACCCCTCCTCCCTTCCTCTCCCACCGTGGAAGTGACGCACAAAATCGTGCTCCCGGCACGAGCTGGCTTGTACCGAGATGTCGATACCACGAAGAGCGGATGTCAATAGCACGAAGTCACTCCTTTCGCGAGGGAGAAACCGCGTCAGCCGATTTTACAGCGTTTTCGCGGCACCGTGTAGAAAAAAAAAAAAGAAAAAAAAACGCGCAACCGTGTTGTTGCTCGATCGGCGATCCCTCGATCGGAATAAGCGTTCGCGGCTACTCGCGTGAGAAATCGATCGCGCGCCGAGTCCAAGTTCCAGGACGAGTTTTTCAACTTTTTCAACAAAAAGAACTTTTTCAACTGGTTTTCTTTACCTTTTAGTTCCCTAAGCTGGAAACTCGTGTCCGCTGGTAGCAGCGTTCGTTCACCGAATCCCTTGGAAACGTTCGATCCGCAGCACTGTTTCTGACACCTTTCGTCGAGTTAATGGGTATGCCGAGAGCGTGCTTTTCTATTACTTTGCACCGCTCAAAAACGAATTCTGCTGTTTCTGTTCGCGCGCGCAGTTCAATGAGGATCAGGTACAGTCTTGATAATACAGCGTTGCGCTGCAGGTACAGTGGTAAGTGCAAAGTATACCTCCGAAATTGTTTATCGTATCTCCCATGCTTTTCGACTCGATAAACATACAGTTCAGCAGCGTTCTCGAAATTTGGTTGGTTTCGCTTTCCTTCTGAAAAAAGTTCCATTTTATCACTAAAGTCAGAAGTCAGTTGTAGAGGAATATAGTTTTTGGTATTTACTAACAAAGGTACTGTACTATAATATTGCGGCAGTAAAATTTTCCGAATATGTTATTTCAGAGATATTTTGGATCGATAAAGTTAAAGATGAGGGTCATTCTTCAACGAAAATGAACGATTTTCAAGATAATCGCAAAAATTTTCAACAAAACTAGCATTCCGCAATTTTTTTCATGTTAGCTTTCGTCAGTCAGAACAATATCTTCATCACTTTCATTTTAATAGCTTTTTTAATTGTTGCTATTCTCTTGTTCTTCATTACTTTGATTTTACCTATTTTGTTTAAATTTTCTTCTACTTTCTCTTCATAGGATGACAGAGTTATTATAGCAGTACTTCCAAAACGCTTATTATATTCCTTGCTGGGAATTGTTGGTAATTTGGTTTCTGCCAAGAAACTTTGACATCAATTCTTCAGGAGAGAAGTCGTAATATTCCAGTGTTCCTTTGGAGCCACTAGAAAAATTTTTCCATCTTCTTTTAACCCATATTATCTTAACAAACTGTTTTAATTGACAATGCCATCCGATCTTTGTCCCATTCTTCCAAAAAAATAAACATAATTGAGTACTTTTTCTACAAAAAACATTTGACTTTGTCTCAGCATTCGTACACTTGAACATCCCTGATTCTCCAACAGATTCAAAAAAGATCCTTCTCCGGATTAATTACACGTTTTAATTCGTTATACTTCGCATTATCAAAAAACGCGTATTATATACGTATTCGATATATAATCTGGCTGCATGAGCAGTTATTCTAAAGAACGAAACTGGCTATCGAATCAGACAAAATTAAACAGCTGATTCCTCGTTTTATCGACTACCAGCAGCTTATATTCTTCTTCCTAGATTCATATCTTTTTACCATTCCAACACACTGTTTATTTTCCATTCGTTCGTACATGATTGACCAAATGTATCACTTAACGTAACCTGAAATTTTATTAAGCGAAATGTAAGTTAAATGTAAATTAAATTAAATATATCGACATGTTATTTTGTTTCTATTCTTTCATTTCATTGTATAAGAAAATTTTTATATTACTTCGAGTATTCGAAACGTTTAAATTGTCAATTTTTAAGAATTTGTAAAACTTACGACTTTATTTGAAAATATGGAAACGTTATCAGAAGCAGAATAGTTTAAGAGGAAACGAGAGAGAGAGAGAGAGAGAGAGAGAGAGAAGGGGAGAGAGAAAAAGAAAAACTGACAGAAAACAGCTGAGACGCAGCTGGTTTCTGGCATCGCGACGGCTGGCGTCTTCCGCGCGAAGAACGCCGTCCGTGCCTGTATGCATATATATATACATATATATATATGTCCTTCTCTGTATATACATGTGCATATGGCTGACGTGTGTGTATAGTACAAACCATCCATGGTAGAAAGCAGAATCGAAATCGTTTCTCAAAAAACATATTTAGAAGAGAAACAATAAACGACTTTGAAAAGTTTTGCGATTCGTGTGTCAAAAAATACGATGAGGAAGCACATTTATGTAAATAGAGAAGGCAATCTCCTAAAATAAATTTTTCTGTCGAAGAACCATCATAAGCGGGTCGACTCCATAATGAAATTTCATTTCAAGAAATTCATTTCTGTAAACGCGATTTCTTTTATTCTCTCGCTAGTTTATAACTTCAGTCGTATACAACTGAAAGCGTTTGCAATTTGTAGTTTGTAGTTTGTAACTTCAGAACTCGTATTTGTTGTCGTCATAACCTATTAACAATTTTCAGTTAAAATTTAACGCGTTTAGTTATTAGTGAATAAGTAAAGGCAATTATACTTACGATCAAAAACACCATTCTAATTATCCGAGTATCGACGTTGAACACGATGCATTGAGCGTGACAATTTGCAATTGCTATACAAACTTATTAAAACAAACGGCTTATTAATTGTAACGGTGCGATTCTTCCCGCGCGATTTCGAGTCATATATATGCATCTCTACCGACATCTCTGAGACTTGACGAGAACTATGAATTGCCGGTAAAATCGATGCTGTTCAAACGTGTTCCAGGCTACGTATTTCGTTTCGATAGAGAAATACATATCTTCCTTGATCGATCTTTCTTATTCGTAGAATAAATACGCACTGTACTTACCGCTACGAAATGATGGACGCTTCTACAGTGTACAAATAATACTTTATTATTTCGTTAGTCGACACTGACAAAATTCACAGGTTTATCAGTTACAAATATACGATTGCGCGTACATCTACTTCATGTAAATTGCATGTAATCGAAACTTTCCAAATTTTCGTAGTTACTTGCCATCGATGGAACTGAACCGTTATTGTCGGCTAACCATTTTGCGCGATAACATTAACGTATAAAATATCAATCTTCTTTTTCCTCTCTTTTTTGTTTTATTATTATTATTTTATTATTATTATTATTATTATTATTATCTCTTTCTTTTCTTTTTTGGCAATTCTTCTTTTTCGTAGTCTTCCGATTCTCTAATTCTGGAACGAACGTTTTAACCAGTATCGGACGTGCAGGACGAAGTATCGGCGTTACTTTGATCGTTGTTGCTCTCCGTTGACGAACTATCGTTGCTCTTTATTCGTCGTTTCCGCAGCTTAGCGAATTGAAACTCCTCAACCGGCACTGTACATCAACAATTGAAGTCGTTATTAGTTTCGTTTGCGCAGTTAAATTACGTGTTACGGGAAAGGGAACGATCTCGTGTAGCCTAACGAGTGGGAAATAGATTCAAGTAAATTACATTTAGCAAAATCGAAATATAACATATCTGTATTTTCTTCCTTTTCTTTTTTTTTTTCGTACTATTTCTAAAATTCATTTCATTACAACGTGAACTCTTACGTTACAGCCATAGCGTACCTAGGTAGGCTTTAAACCAATTGGAATTCATCACCCGCAATATCTTTTTAATACATTTCGATACTGTGACATACTACGGCTGTAACATGTACATTGTTTTACGTTAACAACGCTCGGAAAGTAATTAGTTTTTTATCTCTCTACCAAAAAGGTAATACCGACTTAATCGCATAATATATGTAAAGTGTTGCGTTTCATTGACGAACCGTTTGACAAAACGGCATTCTTCTCCTTCAAATTTGCAGAAATTTCATTATCTTTATGTATTACATACATATAAATAAATAAATATATATATATAATTTAATTCGGTGTACAAGTCGCAATAAAACAAATGCGACCAATACCACACGAGTATAAAGGATTTAATTGTAAGTAGTTTAATAATTGAAAATGTAATATCGATCAATTGATCTTCTTCTACTGATCAACTTCATATTACAATTTATTTATCAAAATTGGATTAACATTGTTGAAAATCTCCGCTTATGATTGACAAATCGTATAATGGTTATCATTATACTTAGTTCATTCATATTTATAATACTAAATGCTACCAGAAATTTCAGTTGAACTAGGTGAAGTACGTTAAAGAAATGATTGTACAGATACATTATCGTACAAATGGTGAATCTCGTTTGATTCGACGAATGATCTTTCGATAAAAATTTAACTAAGAAAACGAAAACGATAGAAGATAGAAACATCATTACAACAACGAATAACTTGTCACAGTGTAAGTAAAATTTATTGTACGGTAATACGATTACTTGTACTGCAAGTTTGGTTACCATCAGAATCTGGATCTCGATCCGTAACAGTATGAGAGGCGCTTGGTAATGGAACAATTTCAGGTTCAAGCGGTTTTACAGGACAGTCTACATCTTCAACGATTACTTCTTCTGCTAAACTGCTCCTTACAGCTTCTACATTTGTAAAAAGGTATCAAATTAAAATTTCATAACCAAGAGCATACCATAATTCTCATAATATATACTATAATTTTGTCAATTCTCAAGATACCATTAAACTTACCGTTAAATGCTTGAGGATATTGTTGACTTAGTTTGTTCTTTACAATACGAATTCTTTTAAAAATATAATCCAGATCTCTCTTCATCTCCACTAATAACGCTGTGTGTTTTTTGAATTCGTTGCCAGCAGTTTTTAATCTATTTATTGACAACTGATTGCAATTAGTCAACATCTCGTTAGTTTTTTCAAATCTCTGCAACCTGTGAAACAATGATTTTGGTAAACGACAGGTACGAAAACAGATTTTGCACCTGGATTAGTAATTGAAAGGAATACTTCAAAAAGTATTTTTACATTTGCTTTTGAGCCCTTATCATAGATTCTACATCCTGTTGATCAACAATTCCAGCCAAACCTTGAATAAATACTTCTGGTGCCGTATAATTTTGAAAGCACTCGAAACTTCCAGTATCAGATTCTGGTGTACCTTGCGCTGTTGCCATCTTTTTGTTTCTTTATTCTTTAAATATTATGTTGCATAAATACTATATTTATTCTTACATAATCTCAACATGACCACATCTGTTTGTTCCAGTCAAATTCTCCAATCATATTGTTTTCTCTTTATAATTATATCTTTATAAACATTTATCAAGTTTGAAAAATTTATTGCAAAGAAACAACGTTAACCTTAACGTAATCATACAACGTAATCATATAACACGATGGAAGAACACAATAACATGAATTTCGTTTTCCTTAAAGTTGTGCTTTTTTTAAAAATTTTTGTCACATATTAGCTCAACGTCAACACAATATACGACATTGTATAAATATTGAAAATGTTCATTCGTGCTGACTTGCTAACGCTTGACGACATGTTTATCATTGTATTTACTTATAATCTAAAATCAATGACTGAAACGTCGTTTTGGTTTTTCAGAAAATCGAGTGAAATAATTTTTTCACAAATAACAACTCCTCTTCAACAATGATGCAATGCAATTGAATTTACAATGTTTTCGATTGAACTAAATATATTAAACAAACCACACACTTTGCTCTCAACAGCTGTTCGAAGTCAGATGTTTTCACGAAGGTTGGTAGAAAGTTCAGCATTCAAATTTCCACAGTGACTGTTGTATCACAAAGCGAAGCTTCGGAAATTTCGTGCAGCGAATAAGTCTAAGAATCACGTGTGTCTTTCGATTCAGAATGGCACAAAATATAAATCCATTTTATTCGTCTCAGAACGCTCCAAATAAAGCTACAGAGGAAAAACAGAATATACCAAAAGACAAACATGCAGTTAGTAAACGGTACGCAAATTTTATTAAACGTATAAAATACACGATTGATTTTACTCTCATATATTATTTGTTCATTGTCGTTTTTTTGCCCATCTTTCTTCCAGTATTTTTCACTTTTTACTTAAACTTTTGTACAACAGATATTTTTTAGTCTAACAGCGATATTAGGATACATAACCTAGTCACAATGTTTGGGCATACAATTCACAAATATTAAATCCTTTTAAAATTGCATATAAATATCCTTATCTGTGACTGTGTAGTTTACAATAGATTTATTCATAATCTCCTTTCCCATGACATTTTTCCATGATATTGATAAAATCAATATATTTTGAATAGATTGCAGAAGGAACTTATGGTTTTGATGATGAGTACAGAAAAAGGCGTTTCTGCCTTTCCAGATGGAGAAAATCTATTTAAATGGATAGGAACTATTACAGGACCACGGGATACAGTAATAATTTTGCTACTATAATAATAATAATATTAATAAATACCAAAGATAACATTTATTTTCATTTATTATTGCAGGTTTATGCTGGTCTTACATATAAATTAACTTTAGAATTTCCCCATAGCTATCCATATAGTGCTCCAATTGTACGTTTTGCTACTCCTTGTTTTCATCCAAATGTGGACGCAGTAGGTAATATTTGTCTGGATATATTAAAAGAAAAATGGAGTGCTTTATATGATGTGCGTACTATATTGTTATCTATACAATCTCTTCTTAATGGTGAGTCTTTAGTAACATAACAGAAAATGCTGATAAATTTATGAAATTGTAAATGCTGAACCTTTTCTTTTAGAACCTAACAATGAGAGCCCTCTCAATCCACAGGCAGCAAAGTTATGGAATGACCAGACAAAGTATAAAAAACATTTAACAGAAGAATATCACAGAGCTATGAATGGTGATCAGTCAGACTCATGATAAGTGTATTTTTATAAAAATTTTGGCTTGTTCATTATTTTTATTTTTATCAATGTTACATCTAGATATAAGATATAGAAGAACAAACTGCACTGAATTTTTGTACTTCATTATAGAAAATTTCATCTCCTATTATCTTTTGAACCTGCATGTTCTATCGTGCAAAAGGACGTACAAATACTTTTTATATTGTTAGTCACGATCATCTTTATTATATGATTTCATCAATCTATCTTGATAATGTATAGAAATTTGTATCATGCTTTTAAGACTGTATATGCGGATTAAACATTTTATATCATCAATTTGTACCACAAACTTTTATTTATTTTTACTCTTAGTATACATATTAGATATATTTTGAAGTTTTCCATCCATACGAGTGACCATTGTCGTTATGTCATCAATGATTATTGTATATTTAAAGAATAAATATTTTAAACACTAATATTATGGAATTTATTATACCTTTGCAAACTGTTTTGTTAAAAACGAAATATATAACATTTTTGTGTGATTGAATAAAGCTATACCAAATTAATTAATGTTAATCATCTTCAAAATAATAGATATTAAAATAATGAAGAATCCAATGCAGAAAAACACTGAAGCATTTCGGACCTCTAATTTTGTAGGAGTATTGGTTTATGAAATATGTATTTTCAAAAAACAGTTAGAAGTATAAGAAATAATATACTTAAAATATTTAGAATGTCTTGTATTATTTATACAGAACATTAAATGTCCTATATTATTGATAGAATATATATTTTTGGCTCAAATATCAATTATCGCATATGTTGTATATTAATATAATAATATGTAAGTTCTTTAAAAAATTTCGTGTTATTTATATCGATTGTCCTCTGAAAAGTTCAATATTTTGGGAATTAATTTCCTTATAAACAAAATCAATGACTAAAAATTTCAAAAATAAGATAAGAGATAAAAAATATTCAAATACATTACAAATTTTTGATAAGCAATGTTGATATGATATTTTGAAAAAATTTAATGTGTGAAAAGTGTTTAAAGTAAATTCAATATCTCGCGGTACTATCACGTGAGCAGTATTTTATAACGACAGTGCATCAGTGTAAGCAAGAAAGTTGCTAACAATGCTAGTGAATATTCATCGAAATTTTGCGAATAATATATTGTCTCAACTAAGCTTTTTTCGACAAAAAGCTATTCGATTCAGTTCGATGCTTCAAGGCCGTGTTTCTGAGGTATTATATCTAAACGGTAGATGGTATGGAAAGATGAGAGCATGTGCTGTTTTTTATGCACAATGTATTGATGTGTGAAAGTTTTTTCTTATATATCTTTTGAGAACTAAAGGCGATCTTAATTTTTTAAATAGACTGCTGTATTTTTTTTTTTTTTATATTATATGAAGATGAATTGAACGATGTATCATTCAATGATCTTCACACTTACACAGCCAGAAAAGAAATAGTTCGGATGTAATGTACTTAACTCGTGCGTGCACACGACACACACACACACACACATATATATATCTCGAATACGAATACAAATTAAAATATTTTTCAATAGGAACAAAAAGTTAATGTCAATGGAGTCGATATCAGTTATGTGAGAGCTGGTACAGGTGAACATCCAGTTTTGCTTTTACCAGGTGCCTTGGGTGAGTAACTTTACAAAAATTATCACGTCCGATACACAATTATAATTGTGCTAATTTGGCGAAGGCCATCTAGGGGCAGTTGATTAAACGTAAAAATGTAAGCTGAATAGTTATATTCTTAACCGAATTTAGTATTTTAATAATACGATTTTTTTGTGTAGATATTATACATATATATACAGTTTAAGATAATATTTCAAGCATAACTAGTGCTCAAACATAATTTACCACATTTTATTATAAAAATTGTTAAGCAATTCGAGAGACATTTTAAATTCGAATTGCAATTCGAGAGACATCTTAAATTCGAATTGCAATGTCGTGGCATAGGTTCGATTTGGACGGATTTCAAACCACAAATAGAAGGACTCGATAGAGGAAAATTTACTATAGTAGCATGGGATCCTCCAGGCTATGGAAAATCAAGGCCACCCGACAAAACGTTCCCGGATGATTTTTTTCAACGTGATGCCAATTGGGCATACAATTTAATGAAAGTTTTAGGTTACACAAAATTCTCATTGATAGGATGGAGCGATGGTGGTATTACTTCTTTAATGCTTGCTTCGATGTTCCCTAATAACATTCGGAAGATGGTAGCTGTTGCTGCGAATGCCTATGTAACACCAGAAGAAGTCAAAATTTACAAAAGTACGTTTCTTTCTTTTTGATTATTGGATACAAATTATTGAAAATTAATTATTGAAAATCGTTTTATTATTCTTCTTCTTCTCTACCGATAGATTACCAAAATATAGATACTTGGTCCGAAAAAATGCGAGCACCAATGATAGAGGTATACGGCGAGGAATATTTTCGAAAAACTTGGTCTAATTGGGTGGATGCAATTTTAAGAATTTGCGAGAAACAACATGGTGACTTGTGCAAAGAGTCGTTAGCAAAAATTAAATGTCCTAGTTTGATCATTCAGGGAACCAAAGATGCTATGGTACTTCCGGAACATCCAATTTACTTGAAGGATCACATCGTCGGTGCAAAGTTTGTACAATTTAATTTATACTTTGATCTAAACATGAACGATATAGCTGACGTGAGTAAAAATCATTTTAGGTTGAAGATCTTTGAAAAGGGAGCGCATAATTTGCACTTACGATATCCCGAAGAATTTAATGACGTCGTTACCAAATTTTTAATCGAGTGATCGATAATTTTGCAATGCAAATGTGATATAAATATGATATATATTCATATACCTTCTTTCTTTCTAAATTTTTTTTATTTTGATACTTTTGTATACGTTATAACATTTTTTGTGTATTACGAGACATATATATTCTTGAACATTAATATACCTATAATTAATCACAGATATTAGAAAAAACATTCTTATTAAACGTTCAGACAGCAATTGTACACTACGCTGAGTGCATGATACAGCATAGAGGACAGACGTGGGATAACCGGCACAGAAATCAAGTCAGAGAAAGGAGCTATAGAATCATGTAGGCGACGAAGGCTTTCCGTAGGCTTACTTCTTTCGACAAGAGACACTTCCAAATAACGTTTCCATTTTTTTAACTGAAGATTAATCTCTATCCAATCTTCTCCGAATTCATAATTTCTAATGTACGTTATTTTGCTCTTGACTAAATCTTTTCTAAATCTTGACTAACTCTTTATTTATTATTATTTATTGAAAATATAATTGGATTATTAAATGAAATAAATTGAACGATTGATTTGACAAAAGGCACGAAATTAGGATTTAAACAAAAATTTGAAGAGAACAAGTATTTTAATAGAGATTAGCACAATTCAATACCGATGTCAAGAACCACCCGTCCGAAATATCCGCAATGCGCTTCGGACCAAAATCGATCTCCCGGCTACTACGCCCCAACGAACCATTTGCCAGGAATTTGTCAGCAGTGCGATACGATATTTCACTTTCTACAGATAAATGATATCTTCTTTTTTTACTTATGATCTTGATGTGCGCGGTTTATTTGTACCTTAAAAGCAAACATGGTAATGGTATATAAGTAAAACGAATTCGAATAAAGCGAATATTTAAGATTCGTATTGAGATATTGCAGGCAGATAGAAAGTGGTCTTGTGCTACTTATTATACGAGTGGCTTCATAGTCAAGAATATTCATGTAGACACTTATATACTCTGTGCAATATATCTCTACTAAATATAAATTAATTAAAATTGTATAATTCGCAGGTCATCAAGAAGGGCAATAAACTACAATAAAATAAATAATTATCGATATACAATATCTGTTAAATCGTTTTCATCATCCTTATTTTAAGATGTACGAAGTTATGTTAGGAACTACGTTACATAAGCTCAATCGTTATAAGTAATAAAAGAAAACGGATAGTAAAGGTGACATATAAAATGCAGTGGACGTATCCAAACATGGACAGACTGCTTCTCGATTCGATCATGTGAACCTCTCCTTATTCTTTACGCTCTTTCTCCTATTGCGTTCCCTTTCTGTAGCAAATGTTTTAACAACTATCGATGTTTTAAAAATAATTTTAAATGCACGACATTTGGAAGAGCACAATAACTACCCACTACTATAGGTAGAGACTAAGTAACATTTAAATAGAGAATACTTTAAAATTTCTATCGCAACCTTATGTTTTAGCGGATATCTGTCTACGCAAATGAAAAATAGTTCGCCTGCAACAACAAATAGTTCTATTTCAACCAAATGCAAGTAAAAGTCGAATATGCAAATGTCTCTCCCGTTTTGGAAATGTGGCAACGTGTTACGATGACATCATCGCAAAGTATTACTCAATAACCAGACTTGGATATAGCAAAATTGGATGTTCTCTCTTTTCGATACATCGTTATATGTTATAATTTATTATTTAGTAAACTTAATTCATTATAACGTTATTATTTAGTAAAACTTAATTTTCTGTTTCATACTTCTGGTACGTCATGTCATTCGATACACAGCACATTAACTATCAATGCTAAATCGAATCCTATTCGAGTTTTATCTGACATGTGATCAAAAGCTACGTGTTACCAAGAAAAATGCTGCCTTTTTTTCAATATTCAATGAACAAAAGAAATGAGAAACGAATCAGAAAGGGTTGAATTGAAAATACCAAAAGAAGAGAAAAGATATGGAAGGGAAGATGGAGAAGAACGACCAGATGACTCACAATCAGATTTCGAAGCTACCGTTATCGAGGTGGTTCCCTTGATCCACAGCTTCGCCACGATGTACCCGAACGCTGTCCAAAGTAGAAAACGATACCATTTACGGCAACTTGCGGGTCCGTTGTTACTCGTTCTCAAACCTGTATTGCTTGAGATTGCTTGAGAAAGTGGTCGTGCATCAAAATCTTGTCCTCGATACAACTTGACCACCCTCACCGGTTTTTTCTTGGAAAACCATCTGATGCCTTGAAGCTTTTTTGAAACCACAAAACAAGCTGCAGCAACTTTCTTTTGCTGTGGAAAATACACGAATGCTAATTGTAGCAGGTATATCACTTTCAAGATTAATGTATTTGTTGTAATTGAGACACATTGACGTGGAAATATTATATGCCTGCGGAAACATTTAGACGTATTTGTCGTACTCGACGACGTCCTTGGGATCAATAAAAGTTGAGGCGGGGCAAGGTTTGGTCCGACTGTCGCTTCGTTCCGACTCGATTCTTTCGACTTGTCTTTATCATTCTTATCATCAATGGTATATTACCTTCGAAACGCATGAATGACGCGTGGGGTTTCTTTCTTTTGCTTGTGCGACCAACAATCAAGTTCAATTAGACAAAATAGAATACTAGTTCTTCCTTTTTTTGAATTTTACCCAGCAATTTATATATGTGCACTTTTCTACAAGCATCGCAAAGTATTCGTTTCAAAAGTATAAAAAATATAGTGCATTTTATATGGTAGAAAAAGTGAAACTGTCTACTTTCTTCAAGCTCGATGGCATTATGACTCATAATGACCCTTTCTAACATATATATAAAATATCGTGACTAATAAAGACAACTTTATTCCGCACGAAGCATTTTCTAACACTAACATTGAAACAAAATTTCGATATATCTTTTATATATATACATAAAATTATATATATCATATTTTGATATGAGATATCTTTTAAAAATTTTCTACAATCTAATTTTTGATTTTCTAGATACTTATCTCATGGTAAAAGCAGATGAATTGATTGCGAACGAGTATTTCCGAACGAATGTTTCAAGCTAAAATTGTTAGCGAGAGTTCAACTCGAGAAGACCGTCTCGTCTTTTGACCGTGATAAATAGAAAGAACGCGGAAATTTCTTTTTGGTCGACACAGGAACACGCGCGTGAATTTCTCGTTCTTCTGTTTCGTCTAAATTAGATGTGATGTCAGCGAAAGTTCCTGCTCGCAGATTCGTTTAATCGTACGGCTAACGAAGGATAATCAGAGTGGTGCATTGTCGTATCGCATCGGTCGAATTGGCCGCGTGATACGTAATCGCACATACATTGTACTCATTTTACCCTTCTTTCTCAGTAAAAGTTTTTCGAAAAAATTTATCATCAAGATATTATTTATAAGCGTTACGCATGAGATAGAAATCTGATCGATGGCCGATATATTCTACTACAGTTTCGTTGCTCCCAATACCAGCGCATAGAAGAACATCGACACAACCAATGATAGATTATTGGATTCTCAGTCAAGAGACTGTTTTCAGATTAACGAAAGAGAAGAAGAAAAGTAGATTAAAAAGTTGCATATATCAACAACCGAAGGTGTACATATTCTTCTCACTTCTCTCAATTAGAATTTACCTCGATAATAAATATGATCCTCCGTTATTGGCAGGTCCGTTATGTTCATGTACTATGATGCGTGTCCATCTATGCAAGACAGTGTTATTCGTACGCGACTCTCTCAAGTAAGTACATGCAAGCGAATATACGACACACATACATTGAGATGCGCGGGCGTGTACACTATCATGGCTGATTTTTTTCCTTCGAAACGAAGAGCGAGTGATCCATACATGGTAACAGTGAGAAGACTGGCTTACGCGTTGCAACGTGTAACCCACCCTACCTGCTCTCCTGTCGCCACTCGTTCGCCTTTCGTTCTTCTCTCCTGCTTATAAAGCTACTTCTATATACATCCTATATGCACGCATACATCTTTACACATTACTTACATATCAGACTTACATATTGTCCATTAATAAACTTTTGCATATATGATGCAAATATATGATTAACATTCAAAAGCAATCATCGATATCTGTAATGTCAAGTGCTGGGAATATTGATGATAATGATACTGTCTCGTATGAATGTTATTCGAAAGAGCTAATTGGAACCAAAGCAACTTTACTATAGCAATCAGTAAAGTATTCGAGGGTAATATATTTTTTAGTAGATCTGCAATATTTGGATGGGTGTGTACTACACCGGTGAGTCACGTATCGACTTTTCTCCCAGCCAACTTCGGGTTGGAGGGTGGGTTTAAGGCACACCCATCATCAGTTAAGGGTGAAGAAGATAGGTGTACGTCTATCAAGTGTTATGCCACTAAAAAAAACGAAACCAAAAATGTTACTTGTTCAATCAAAAATATCTTGATAAAAAATTTTCACGTACTTACCACAATTTTAAATGTTTAAAACAAGAGCATATACTGTAAAGATTAGAATATTTTGTACATTAGTAGAATAATTGCAAAATCTATCGATTTCTTTCTACTCGATAATAACTGGTAATGACGTACTGTATTAATTATCCGATTATCTATAAAAATTGACCTTACGTGTAGATTTAATTGCATTGCAGATAAAAAACAAGTGTTTGAAAATTGTCGTTAGACTATGAAGTCATAATTAAACTTGTAGCCTAGAAGTAGTCGCTGTTTAAAAAAAAAAAGGCCAATCTCGTGAGTATTGAAAAAAAAGAGGTCGAATTCGTAGGCTGACAGCGTTGGCTTGCAATTTTGGCGAATCGAAATTTTGTTAACGATGTCATATCTGCAGAAGCTGGAGCGCAGAATCATTGGAGCAGTTGGCAACGCTGTCGACACTGGCTGGCGGAAAGGTGGCGGGGCTCGAGTATCGTCCAATCAGAAACGTTGTTTGAACCTCTCTACCTCGCTCCCCGTAATCCTGTAGAAGCTTGAAAATCTGTAACGGACGCCGCTGCCGAGGCATATTCGTTTCTGGGCTCTCGTCACGAGTTATCGTGTACCTCGTCGCTAGTTCAATTGTTACAAGAAGCTTCGAAGAAGTTCGAAAAAAAACTACCGAGCAACATGAGGGAAATCGTCCACATTCAAGCCGGCCAGTGCGGTAACCAAATTGGCGCAAAGGTGAGCCCTCGAAATTCTAAAATATTCGAAATAATCGAATCTGTGGAAATCGAACGTTTCTTTGTTTGCGGCGTCATAGTTGGTGGTTTTCATAGGATCGTGTCTACTGTTAACTTTAGTTATTGTTAAAGTCCATTTTAACGTAAGATTCAATTGAAAATAAAAGAGAAAAGGACAAAAAAATGAGTTTCTGTTAAATTTACGCATCAATGTCTTCTCTCGGGTGTACGTTACTTCAAGGGTTCTATTGAATCGGGGAATAGTTTTAATTCCGTTAGATTATAGCGGGGAGATCCGTTTCGACGAAAGAGTGTCGCACTCGAACTACGTGGTACGGTTGGCACGCGAAAGCACGGCAACCACGCTCGGTCGAAGACCTGTCATGGCGACAGAATCTCGCCGGCCGGTTGGTATATACTTAACGGTTTTTTCCGTCGAAGCTTCTTTTACGAAGCGTTGTCGTCAAGCATCTTAACATATACATATGTATATATGTGTATATGTTTGTACTTTCTGTCGTTTAATGCAAATCTCGATGTATTTTTTGAGGGAGAAACACGAATAGAAGCATCTATTTAAAAATTTTCAAATATTTTGCTTAATCTCTGGGCCTGGGTGTGGTCTATCTCCGGCGTGTCGAGATACACCGGTTGATGCGCCAACGGAATCGAACTCGCGGCTGCGCGCGCAACCTCTTTCCCTTCTTTCTCACTCGGTTTCTTTCTCCCATCATCGACATTCTCTCTAGACGTACATATGTATGTATATACACACATATGTAATTCGTCGTTCGCATCTCCTTCCATTCGATGTATTCAAATCTTATTTTCACGATTTCGTCATGTATACGTATGTTATCTCGTGTTATTTTAAGGTATAAAATATATTTTATGAAATTCAAAATCTTATTTATTACAGGGAGTTGCAAGTTTTTCAGAATGAAAAACTGATAATATATATTTATATTTTATATGTAAAAACGAATTCATAGTCGCAGTTACATTATTTAATATACTATAACTGTTATATTGACTCGCGAAAAGTGTAGCAAGTAATATAGTTACATATAGTTACGTGATAATATATATTTATATTTTATATGTAAAAACGAATTCACAGTTCGCAGTTACATTATTTAATATACTATAACTGTCATATTGACTCGCGAAAAGTGTAGCAAGTAATATAGTTATATACATGTATAGTTTACGCTCTCATAGTTTTCAAGGTTGTTTCATTGAGTCAATGTCCGCTTCCTAAATTATCCGCTTCGATTTACAATGCTATTCATTGAAAATATCTTTTCATCAATATTTTACGTAAATTATGATCTCCGTGATTTACCAACAACCGATTGTGCAACAGTTACAATTACCCATTCAGGGATCTTTGTGATCCAAGGACATCGTGTATTACGTGGCGTGGTGAAACGTTTCCAAATACAGAAAGAAGATATCCTTCCGCCATTTTCTTTGGCGTCACATCGCTCGGTTTAGTTTATTTTGTTGGCAACAACTGTCCAGTCGGTCTGATAGTAACCGGATATATCGATCGTTTTTCAGGGTATAAATTCTTTAGTGACGCCATTTTGTGCATCACCAAAAAGTCAATGCTCGATCGATATATGCTGTATGTGCGAGAAATTTTTATTCCAAAAATATATAAAGAAACGAAATTCACTAAAAAAAATTAAAACGACAAAGTTGATATAGATGTTACCAACTCTGCCGACTGTTCAACTAATTTATTATTCTTATCATAATTTATAATGCGAGGTTATTTTGTTCTTTCCAATCTTAAGGATCATAGCAAAAATGAAAATTATTAATTCGTTTATATTTATCATATTTAATTATATTTATCACAGTGTGTAATAATTATTTTGACTTCCTAAATACGTAGATGTATTTACATATGTATGTCTACTGCAAAGACAACTACACAACAACAGCAACTACAAAGTTACACGAGTAGATTCCAAGAGAGCTTAAAGTAGAAATCAGAATGTATATATAAATCGATTGTAACCCCTTGTGATAATTGGACAAGATTGGTATTGCAGTCATCATTCCTATATATAGCGATGACATTGGTGACTCATCTTACAGCATATTATATATACGAACATTCTGTATAATACGTGGTCGGTAGTGGGAGTAAGATTGTACGTGGACAATGTTCACTTCCTATTAACGATGGTCATATATGATTGCAGTGGTTAAAATAAACTGATGTAGGACATTACAGTTTTCATATTACAGATGATATTATCATGACTCCAGTTATCAAATACTTATATTAAGATTTTTCGAAATGTCCAAAAGAGAATTATTACACAGTTCTAAGAAACATTTAAAAAGAAGGAAAGATGTAAGATACAGCTTTAAAGCTGCATTTTAGAAAACGACGTCAGTTTTAATGTGGAGTTAGGCTGCAGTTCTATGATGAAAGTTTTCTACAACAAATTATAGAGCACACGTTATATATGTGTTTGTACATCTTATCTGTTATTTAATAGTTGTGTGATTATTGAATATGTTTTGTTCCTTATCTATTAAAGTAACTTATCTATTAAATGATTTTGCAATAGAATATTTGCGTACATCATTGGCTAGTATTTTGAGAACACATCGATTTCCAGAAATATACTGCTGCAAGGTCTTTGAACTACGGTTAAGAGAGATGCGTACACAGTTTTATTTGTGTGTGTTAACTAGTAGATACGATTGTGCCATGCATTGCTTCGTTGTACGCTGCGTTGTTCGTATTGCGTATTCGTCCATGACTGAAGTAACTAGTCGACAACAGTCGAACGAATGATCATCTCTTGAGATTTAAGTGAATCGCACTTTGGTAAATAAAGTTAAAAGAAGAAATCGACTTCGATATTCTCGTGTTTTCTTTTCTTTTTTCTTTTTTATATATATATATATTCTTTATTCTATATTCTATATTCTATATATATATATCTTTTTTTTATATATATATATATAGATAAAAAAACATAAGACTACATATATTCTTATTAGAGAATAACTATTAATTTCATAGTCTATTAAATATCGATTGTCACAGTATACCCATGGGAGTAAACAATTATTATAAATTTAACGCATCTTTTTCGGAAAGTAATTTTCGCACATTAGTCCTATTTTATATCGGAGCATGACATAATTAATTTTCATTGACAAAGTTTCATTTAATGGTTGATTCATTAAAATTATTGTAATACAAAGGAAAGAAATTTACATGTGCTTTTATGCACGTATACGTAACGAAAAGAAAGGAAAAAAAAAGAACGAAAAGATAAAACTTCCATCCTGGCTGTGCCTTAATGATTGCTTGTATTATGACTAATTACACGCGAGCTATTCGCCGAGGTCGTTGAACCGTTCTTCTCGGTCGATAATACGGAAGACTGAAAACGGATGTGAGGGTAATTGTCAGGAGAAAGCATTGACTGGTACCAAGTAGGATTTCTTTTTCGAATATCGGATTTTCCTGTGTCTTGTAATTAAAACACAAAGGATTGTGTAAATGATTTTTAATATTATAATTCAATATAAATTTTTAATATTAATTTAATATAAATTACGAATTATCGTTTGTTACAGTTTTGGGAAATCATTAGTGACGAGCATGGCATCGACCCAACCGGTACTTATCACGGTGACTCCGATCTTCAATTGGAGAGAATCAACGTGTACTACAATGAAGCGTCCGGTGGAAAATACGTACCACGTGCCATACTCGTCGATTTGGAGCCAGGCACGATGGACTCCGTTCGCTCGGGACCTTTCGGACAGATATTCAGACCAGACAACTTCGTATTCGGACAATCCGGAGCCGGTAACAACTGGGCGAAAGGTCATTATACCGAGGGAGCCGAACTGGTAGACTCTGTTCTCGATGTAGTTAGGAAAGAAGCCGAAAGCTGCGATTGCTTACAAGGTTTCCAACTGACCCACTCGTTGGGCGGTGGTACCGGATCTGGTATGGGAACACTGCTCATCTCAAAAATTCGCGAAGAATATCCTGATAGGATCATGAATACATACTCTGTTGTACCGTCTCCGAAAGTATCAGATACTGTCGTAGAACCGTATAACGCAACGCTTTCTGTACATCAGTTGGTAGAAAACACAGATGAAACTTACTGCATCGACAACGAGGCCCTTTACGATATTTGCTTCCGTACTCTGAAATTATCTACACCCACCTATGGCGATCTGAACCACCTCGTCTCCCTTACGATGTCTGGCGTCACCACCTGTCTAAGGTTCCCTGGCCAGTTGAATGCCGATCTGAGGAAACTCGCCGTGAACATGGTACCGTTCCCGCGACTCCATTTCTTCATGCCAGGTTTCGCACCGCTTACCTCCCGTGGCAGCCAACAGTACAGAGCTCTCTCTGTGCCCGAGCTCACTCAACAGATGTTCGACGCGAAGAACATGATGGCAGCGTGCGATCCAAGACATGGCAGATACCTCACAGTAGCAGCGATTTTCCGTGGCAGAATGTCGATGAAGGAAGTCGACGAGCAAATGCTCAACATTCAAAACAAGAACAGCTCCTACTTTGTCGAGTGGATCCCGAACAACGTGAAAACGGCCGTTTGCGACATCCCACCACGTGGCTTGAAGATGTCTGCCACCTTCATCGGCAATTCGACGGCTATCCAGGAGTTGTTCAAGAGAATCTCCGAACAATTTACCGCTATGTTCAGGAGAAAAGCTTTCCTTCATTGGTATACTGGAGAGGGTATGGACGAGATGGAATTCACCGAGGCCGAGTCAAACATGAACGATCTGGTCTCGGAATATCAGCAGTACCAGGAAGCCACTGCCGACGAGGATGCGGAATTCGACGAGGAACAGGAAGCAGAAGTCGACGAAAATTAAACATCGACTCTACTTTATTCTACATACTGTCTGTACTCTATCATTCATCCATCATTGTCCTTCGCTCTTCTACTGCTTTTTAACTTTGCGTTTATTTCTTTCCTCCTATTCTGTCTCCCCCTTTTTAATTTCTTTTTTACTGATGTCGGGCGCGCTTTTTTCATCAGTACCACACGAACATAGACACATACACTCGCATTCTTTGGATAATTTGATTAGTAAATCGTTTTTATCGATTTTTTTTTCTATATTCGTTTGTTTGAATTACATAGTTTGCGAGGCGCGTCTTTGTATTCATTGTATAACCGCTTATGCGGACAGCATCATCTTTGAATAAATTATTACCATATAAATGTACGGTTTTATAAAAACCCCTTATTATTGTCGTACTATTCTATACGTACTACTATCATGTTTGATGATTCATTTTTTATATTTATGAAACTACAATGTAGCATATTTGTATTTATATTTGTTCCCTCATCTATGGACTTTTATACTATGATAAAGATCTGAATAAAGTAGATCATTAATCAGAGTACTAAGAGAGGCACCCATTAAATATCCAATTTATTCGGTATTATATATGCAAAGTTTAAAATCAGTTGAGCTTTGGAGCATGTTTGATTTATTGAAAAGACAAAATAAAGTTTTATGTTATTGTGTTGAAATTTTATTGAAAGATAGAAATTTGTTTCAAGATATGATATACTTTGCGCAAGTGCTTTTACATTGTCGAAATAATAGCATTTGAAATATTTTATTTGGGTTAATAACTATGTTCATCTTAACTCGGGATTACCCACATGAGAGTCTAGTCGCCGGGATGTACCTGCGCTAGACCCCCAGGTGAGTAATCCCGGGTTAAATGTCCTTATTTTCGGAGGTATACAAAATTTTTTTTAAACAATTCAGTACAAATTAGGCAACTCCGTAACAATTTTAGTTACGGAGATTTGAGGGTTATCCCTATTTTTCTTTTTAGATATTTTTTTGTTCCATTAATCGATGCAACCCGATGTTCTTTATGAAAAACTATTGGTTTAGTAGATATTTTAACTGTAATTTTATAAAATCTATACATAAAAGACAAGAATATTACTCCTGTTTTTCCTCATCTTTGATACAATAGATTTTATAGAATTAAGATCAAAGTATTTAAATTAACTACGTTTCAATATATATAAGTTATTGTAATATATAAGTTCGATATATATATTACTGTTTGTCTATTAGAATACTATCAACATTATTGGTTAAAATTCGCAGATCGTGTCGCCATCTGTTGAAATGAAACGATCATCATCAAACGATTGGAACGACCTCTATTCTAGTATTCTTATTTACAGATACGAAAATTGACTATAAGAAGGAAATTAATAACCTATTTCTTTATTTACTTATTTATAATATATATAAACAATTGATTTATTACGCTTACATTTTAGCGGAATAATAATCTAAAATATTGGCTAATTGATAAGAAGATTAACAATCTAATGATTGTGTTCATGGGAATTAAAATTCTCTTTCATTGCATTAAATCCATTAAAAGGTATCATATTTCTATATATAGTTTCGTATTTTCTTAGGTAATTAATCGCATAGAACAGAGAAAAATTAGATTCGATTTAGTTCGTCATTAAAAATTTTTCGAAACCTTAGTAAAATATGAAGTTTCCTATTTTACGTACGTGCATATATGTGATACGATAACTATGACATGGTTTTAATCTGCATTCATAAGTCTCGCTAGTCAACTAACGGATTAGCATAATACAGTTAAGTATTATGGAATTAGAGCACTGTGTCTCTATGGCTTTTGTCATAAATATTATAGCGAAACTTGACCGAGATCTCAAGATCTCGAGATTGATTTTTAAATCTTTCTGTTACATGTTTGTTTGGAATGGAAACCGAGATTAATCTTTATGTAGACAACGAAAAGAATTGCAGATTACAGTGGAACAAAATACAGTAGATCCTCGAACTCCGAACACAATACATTCTAAGAAACGATTTATCGAATCTGGACTTAATAACTTACGACTAAATAAGAAAAGAGTGCATTTCTAAAAGTATGAAATAAAATATTAATCTGATATGTCAGGTATAATTAATTTTGTTATTTAATGTTGTGTAATAAGAGTTAATTGACTAATAGTCCTATACTGTTCTAAAATCTCAAGATACGTACATATTTGTCACTCAAGGAAGTATGTTATTACTGTATATCATTATATTTGATTCAGGTATTCCGATGAATGTCAGAAAAGTGACCTGCTCCGAAGCAAATATTTAATGCGTCATTTATTTTCAACGCGTTAGGATGAATTTAAACATCTTCACGTAGCAAGATCGAGTCTTAATTGTCATCTATTCAACTAGAACGCAATGAACTAACATTAGAGAGTTGTGTGTAGATATCGGTAAGTAGATTTAGAAATTACTCTCACTATTGTTAATCTTAATACCTAAATAACAGTAATAAAATATAAGACGTGTCTTCGAAATTAAACTTCGATACAACCGATGTACAATCATAATCATTATACGCTAAGAATCTTGGAAAACGGTGTTGAATTTTCTTTAGAAGATTACAGGATTTCTCCGCGCTTGACGACATGTTGTCATTGGAGCAACACAATTGACAGGAAAGCTAGAATCGCTCAAGAAAAGGTGGTTTCGTTCGTTGGCTGGATTCAACAAAAGGATGCATTCGTAATGTGGGGGTAAATTTTCTTGGACTAATTGTAAGGCGGCAGACAACGACCTCGCGGTAAAGAAGGTATGACTCATCGTCCGGCTATACGAAGCGGCGTGGCACGGTGTCTCGCTTCGTGAATTCGACCTAACTCGAGACAGTGGTTACCAATTGCTGTAACTCACGTTTCGCTCAAGCCTCGATTCCAGCAGCGACATTCCCCAATTCGTTTTATCGATCTGCAAGATCAAATTCGTCATTCGCGCGAAATAGAAGATCAGAACAGATCATAGCGTTCATTGTTTTCCGAATCGATGTCGTTTCAAATATCGACTCGTCGGATTGTAATTGTAACTGGAATTGGTGAGAACAACCCAGTAGTTGAACGCAAAGAGAGACATGCAGTTCTCGTGCCACGAGACGGGGGTGAGTTACAATAATAGAAAAAGGGATTTTTACAGCGGCAGGGGATCGTGAGACGCTGGTGAGCACAGCTGGAGACACGCGATGCGACTAATCGTGTCGCGCTTTTCAACGGGAATAACAATCAAGAAAGACGAGTGACACACTACGTTTTTCAGAGTGATTCACGAGACGAAATCTCTCTGTCTGCCTTTTTTCGCCTCTTCTTCTTTTTAAAACGGTATTCGAAGAACGCGTGGAATTCATCTGATAATTCCGCACGAATTTTATTTACCTAATAACAGCAGCGTGTAGTCGCGAAGGACGTTCTCGCGATCAAATTACATTTCCGGTGGATGTAACTCCGAGTCCATCGAACCGGATATCCTGCTGCTCTTGCCTCTCGGTCGACGATTGCATTTTCGAACTCGCAAGTGAATCATCATTGCGCGAAGCCCCTTTTAGCCTTGTAAAATCATCGATTGATAGTATGATTCGATAGATTGGATTGCATTAGGAGAAAAGATAAGAACTCTAGTAAGAAAACAGAAGACGAAGGAAAAGGAGGAGAGGGAAAAGTTTGGCAGATCCGTTGGAAGCTTGAGCCGTGTCATTGACCATAGCCGTAGCTTCAGACACTTGGAATTGCTCCAAACACACACACAAGAATAAATTCGGATCATTTAGAATATGATATGAAACTTAAAATTCTTGAAAGTTTTGATTGCCTTTGGTATCTTGAGAGTTATCACAAGGTTTAATTACCATGAGTATTAATGATAACTCAAACTTCCTGAATTTTCTTTAATATTCATGCACTCATTATTAAACTGCTGAACTAACATCAATTGTTAAATTTATATTTTCATTAACAATAAATTTAATTTACCCAGTAAATATTGTAACAAGTGCTATATTTCGGATATTTTATGTATTTTTATATATGTGCATTCTTTTATCATGAATGGATAAAAAACTTCAAGACTTCCAAGAGTTCGAAACTCTGTGTCACGTTCAAAATGATTCGAATTTATTGTCAAATGTGTCAGATCCCATCACTACGTATCGTCCTGTCGAGGCTGTCGGTCGTCACGTCGCCGCCGTCGACTCGTGCGACGTACCACGCCGGTTGGAGAATTTTCTCCCCCTCCGTATCGTCCGTACAGCCAAGCTAGAAGCGCATCGGGTAACCGAGTGGAGAGTCGACCTCAGGACACCGACACGGGCACGTTTCGTCGTCAGTTTTGTTCCGCAGGCTCCACTCCACTGTTGCACTCCTGCGCGACACTCGTCTGCACTCGGTTCGCTGCACACGTTCTCGCTGCAACGGACATCACACACACCAAGGACGCTTCCTCGTCGCGAGTCTATTCTATTCTCACTCTCTCCCTCTCTCTCTCTCCCTCTCGCTTCGACCCCTGTCGAAGGATATCAACGGAGCTGTTCACTTGACCGGCGCACCTATTTTTCTTGGCTCGCGAAGGGAAAGGTCAGCTTCGATATGAGGGAGATCGTGCATCTGCAAGCTGGACAATGTGGAAACCAGATCGGCGCGAAGGTAGGTTGTTTTACTAACACCCTCACGAATTCGCCGATCTTAATCCTTTGGAGACGAACTTTACATATGTGTCTGCGTTCGTAACTGTTACAAATTTTCGGAGTCAATGGGGTCTGATTTGAAAAATGTATCACTCAGATGCAAAGTTACGCGTATGTTAAAAGACTAGGTGGTACGTATCATTGAAAATTAGAATGGATTTCAAAATGGTTTTTGAAAGCTCAGTGTTAAATAATACACGCATGGAGGCTCCAAAGGGTTAATTTCTTTGTATCCAATTTGTACAGAAAATAAGTGCAAGTGCGATCATACGATGTGAAAATTTAAGAGAATATAAGGAAAAAACGAATATACACAAGTTGATGAAAGAAACAGAATATCTAAAATTATGACAGAGGTCTTGAAAGATAGTCTTAAAGATAGGGTTCACGTGTAATTTGCGGATTTCGGATTTGAACAATCGATTTCCCTATCGAGAAAAAGTCTATCTTATCAGTGTAGCAGTAATTTAAAGGCTCTGTAATATTGAAAGCTGAAAATTTGTTGAAAAGTTCGACGTTGATTCTTGAAGTTTTAATGCTGACGTTACTGATAGAGTAATTTATTTTTTGAACTACTATTGGTGTTGGGATTTCACCGTCAGAACAATGAATAAAAAGAAAAAAGACAGAAAACCGAGCTCTTTTGTCATCTTTTCTTTTCTTGTCTCCTTCGAGCTTACCCTAAAATCGATTCAACGTTTCTGCCCCTTTCGGAACTTTCCTCTTTACGATTCGACACGTATGTACGCATAATTTCTTTCTGTCTGTCTCGCTCTCTCCATGCGCTCTCAGTCGAATTAAAGATAAGGCGTCGGCGGCAGCGAGCAATGAGATGGAATTTAAAGTGTCGCTCGCTTCAATATCCTCGTGACAAAGAGCCATTCCTGTTCGAGAATGCATGCTCGACGCATGTGTATTCACACATTCGTTCTCTATTATACATTATTGTGCATAAATAGTTGAACGTCTAGTGCTGTTTGATAAATTATATAAAAAAAATTGATATCTTTGTTTCGTTTCTGTAGTTACAATCAACAAAAATTTTTCTACACATTACCACATATAACTGAGGTAATTTTAGCAGAGCTAAAATTAATCTGAAACACAACAAGGAGTGTATATCTGTGTCATATTTTTAATAAATGGCTGACATTTCAATAAACTTTTTGAATGTAACTAAGAGCATATATTTTATGTTAATGTTATTTAAAATCACTAAAATGTCTCCGCGAAATTAATCTTCAGGCAAATTTTTAATTTTACTATATTAATTAATAATATATATATATTATATCATATTGTATATTATAATTGATGCTGATACTGTGTATGTTACAATTTTATTGAAAAGATTCGCGTGATTTCTGTCTTACGTAGTTACAATGCTATTCAAATATTTATGCACGATGGAAAGAATTGAAATAAATGGAATTTTCGTTCTCTCGAATACATAAATACATGAAAGTCGATAGAACGATACCTACGTGACTAGCGATGAAAATTAGATGCTCAACAATACAACAGTGAGAAAGCCTTCAGATCAATATTTCATGCTTTCTTCGCTTTTTATCTTTACGTACAAATTGAAATAACACCGTGCACGGTATTTCGCGCTCCAAGACGATTTCGCGTGACTCTCCCATGCGGAAAACGATCGGTTAACCCGGCCAACTGTAAATTGCATCTCGAACAAAGGGGGACTCGTCTGTTCGGGCAATTGCGGGGAAAACGTAACGAGTAGTAATCCTAATTGGACGCGTCGCTTCGACAATTTAGCGTTTAGAGTGGAAAAAATGCAGTCGAGTCGCGTGAAACGCTCGTCGTCACCGCGTCGCACCATCCAGAGAATCACGATGTGTACGTACTATTAATAGAAGAAGGAGAAAATAGCGAGGGCGAGACGAATGGAGAACACCAGCGTAGATCAAGGGAGGCTAAATCTCGACGAATTTACTCCGAGTTGGGAGCAGAGTCACCGTCAATTTCCCGTTTACCCGTTTTTAAACGAATCGCGGTTTCCTCTTGTTCATCTATCATCCTCAGACTTTTACTTTGCGAACAGAGAGGAAATAGAATGGAATAGAGAACGAAGGAGAGAATTACGAGTAGACTGCGGATTTGTGCGTTTATGAGAAATTTAGAGACGTGCCAAAAATCTACAGAATATATATTTAAATTGTAAAAATATATGAAACGTCTAGTGCAAGTTTCAGTAATTAATTATGTGAAATATAATGTACTTGTTGTAATACATGGCAATGGAAGCAAATTTTAACTAGAATTCTTTTAATTGTGTTTACAGAAACTTGAATTAATTGATAAAAATTCGCAGTCTAGCGACGAAATAAAGAAGCGATTATCGTTATGGCTCTTTATTATGGTACGCGTTGAAATACGTTGCGATGTATGATATACTTGAATCTTATAATGTACATGAGCAATTTGTGTAACCACTAGGTTAATTCGTTCCTAGCTCTTTTAATACTGCGATATTAGAAAATCTGTTTCTGTGGGTTAATTACCTTTTTGTATATTTCATTTGTCTAATTTTTTTTATTTTTTATAATCTCCAATTATTGATGATATTGGTATAGGAATTAATTAACAACTCGCCACATATTTATCGACTTTGCTAGGAAACTAATTTCTACAAATAATACTGTAGTTGGGAAATAATTTTGATACTAATAATTTTATTAGTATCATTAATTAATTATTAACTATTAATAATTTTAAATAATAATACGATGAATGAAGAAAAATCAGTGACGTGTAGAAGTGAACTGTAACTGATAGTAGATTCCATGAAAACTACGTTCGATGCGTGCATCGTAACAAGCTTCGTAACGCGTACAAGTACCTTTAGGGTTTTACGTACGGTGTGTGCGTCACCGCGTGCAATATCCTGTCGAATTTCCGACGTTTGCCAATAATGGCGACACGTTTCTCTCAACACGCACTTGTTGCTTACATTACAGTTCTGGGAAGTGATCTCTGAGGAGCATGGCATCGATCAATCGGGCATCTATCACGGGGACAGCGATCTGCAACTGGAGCGGATTTCCGTCTACTATAACGAGGCTTCTGGTAAGAAAAATTCCACAGTTCTTCTTCCCTTCTGTTCAACAAGAAAAATGAGGGAGGGAGGGGGGGGGGGGCACGAGACGAATCGCGAAGCTTCCTCTGAAAAGGTTCGCGGATTTCGCGCGCTCTGAAATAGAAACTGGCCGCGCGAATGCGACACGCTGGAACGTGGCAAAAAACAAGCGACAGAGCGACGAACGCGCGTTTCGCGACGAAAATAGCCTCGCTTTGTCCGTTCACCAGGCTTGGCTGTCGACATCCTGGACGCGAAACATCGGGCAAACCGAGATGCTCCAAGATGCTCCAAGATGCTCCACCCAATCGTGGAAAATCATCGAGTAATGAAATAGCGCGCGTCGTGTTGTTTCGTCGACCAATTTAGTCGCGACATGGTCAGTTTTGGTAGAATGACAATCGACGTGTCGAAGTTGCTTAGTATGAAGGACGATACGCGCGGCGCGTTGGTTTTGGAAGCGTGTCCGGCCCCGCGTTCTTCCATTTATGGACGAAAATCGAAACGGAAGTATTCTTTCGCTGACGGTATATACAGGGTGTTCATAAAGTCTCTTTACAATTTCAAGAATTTATTACAAAGGAAAGTGGCATGCACCATTTTCATGTGCTTCGTGCAACTGATGGTGTCCATACCAGAGTATTAAAGAAAACTTAAATATAGACGTCTCATTCTCTAATAATTTCCACCCATCCTGTCTTTTCATTTGCCTTTGTAATAGATTTTTGAAATTGTAAAGAGACTTTATGGTCACCCACATGGAGTTATGTTAAAGATATCGTGTATCGAACAAAAATACGGGACATCGCTGATCTAAAGCAGAAAGTCACTGATGCCATTGCCACCATTGATGAGGGTATGCTGGCAAAAAATCGAGTACCGTCTTGATGTGCTTCGTGCAACTAATGGTGCCCATATAGAGATGTATTAAATGAGACAGAAAGAAAACTTAAATATACACGTCTCATTTTGTAATAATTTCCACCCATCCTGTCTTTTCATTTGTCTTTGTAATAGATTTTTGAAATTGTAAAGAGACTTTATGGTCACCCTGTATTATCACGCATAACGTTGCAGTGGCGACCTCGACGAACGGTGGAAAGTACGTGCCGAGAGCGATTCTTCTGGACCTGGAACCAGGAACGATGGACGCCGTACGATCAGGAGCGTACGGGAAGCTGTTCCGGCCGGATAACTTCGTGTTCGGGCAGTCAGGCGCAGGGAACAACTGGGCGAAGGGACATTACACCGAGGGCGCGGAGCTGGTCGACTCGGTGTTGGACGTAGTCAGGAAGGAATGCGAGAACTGCGACTGCCTGCAAGGCTTTCAGCTGACTCACTCGCTCGGCGGTGGTACGGGATCCGGCATGGGGACGTTGCTCATCTCGAAGATTCGCGAGGAATACCCGGATCGGATAATGAACACATATTCGGTGATGCCATCGCCCAAAGTATCCGACACGGTGGTGGAGCCGTACAACGCCACCCTGTCGGTTCATCAGCTGGTGGAGAACACCGACGAGACCTACTGCATCGACAACGAAGCGCTCTACGACATCTGCTTCCGCACGTTGAAGGTTTCGAATCCCAGCTATGGCGACTTAAATCATCTAGTCTCGCTGACCATGTCTGGCGTGACTACCTGCCTCAGGTTTCCCGGACAGTTGAACGCCGATTTGAGAAAACTCGCTGTGAACATGGTACCGTTTCCACGTTTGCACTTCTTCATGCCGGGCTTCGCGCCATTAACCTCCAGATCCATGCAACAGTATTCCGCGCTCTCGGTGCCGGAGCTTACACAGCAAATGTTCGACGCGAAGAACATGATGGCCGCGTGCGATCCGAGACACGGCCGATATCTCACCGTGGCCGCCGTGTTCCGCGGCAGAATGTCGATGAAGGAAGTCGACGAGCAAATGCTCAGCGTGCAGAACAAGAACAGCTCGTACTTCGTCGAGTGGATACCGAACAACGTGAAGACGGCCGTCTGCGACATACCGCCCAAGGGTTTGAAGATGTCCTCCACCTTCATCGGCAACACCACCGCCATTCAGGAGCTGTTCAAGCGAATCTCCGAGCAGTTCACCGCCATGTTCCGCAGGAAAGCGTTCTTGCACTGGTACACTGGAGAGGGTATGGACGAGATGGAGTTCACCGAGGCCGAGTCGAACATGAACGATCTGGTCTCGGAGTACCAGCAGTACCAGGAAGCCACCGCCGAGGAGGATTTCGAAGCGGAGGAGTGCGCCGACGACTTTGAGACTTGCGACCAAGAGTAAATCGACCGCCGGATCTGTCTTTCCCTTCGAAGCAGCTACTTCTTCGCCGAAGAGCGAGACCAGTTTCCTCCTTTTCTCCTTTCTTCGTTCTCGTCTCGATTCGGTGGTAGATCTTACACGAATTCTCTCTCTCTCTCTCTTTTATACTTTTTGTACGTGAAATGCATTTCATTACCGAGAATAGAACGGTCGCGAACACCACACCCGGTTACTCACTGTATCCTACTTCGCGAATATTGACAAGGTCGAGTAGGAAGTAAAGAGATGTTATTAGACTTCTCGGGATACATCGATGGAAAGCGAAGTAGCAAGACCAGACACCAAAGCAAAATCTCGAGCCAAAAATCTACCCATTCACCGACAACTGTATCGCATGCGTATTAATCGTGGCACGCGTTTCGCAATGTAACGTAAGTTTGTTCCTTACTGCAGAAATATACGTTTCTTTTTTTTTTCAATTATTTCCCCTTCTCTCTGCGTCTCGTTCGTACCTCGTCGAATCAGTCCTCGTCCTCCATCATCGCCAGATCGTCCTCGACGATCGTAGTTTCGGCCACCGCTTCTTGCTGACGTTGATACTCCGAGACGAGGTCGTGGATCGTCGATCGGCAGTCGGAAAATTCGGCCTCGTCCATTCCCTCGGCCGCGTACCAATGCAAGTACGCTCGTTTCTTCAACATGTCGTCGAACGCGCTCGCTAATTTTTTAAACGATTCCTGTATCGCTGTCGTGTTCGATATCAAGCTGGCGCTCATGGAGAGTCCCCGCGGAGCGACGTCGCACATCGCGGTCTGTACGTTGTTCGGTATCCATTCGACGAAGTACGGACTGTTTCTGTCTCGTATGTTCAACATTTGCTCGTCGACCAGCTGCAAGCACACCCGAGCAGGTCGTCAGATTCGTTTCTCTAAAGCTTGATTCACGCCAGCGGTCAAATTCGAATCCGAATCGATACTAATCCGCAAATTATAACGCAAATTAGGACGTGGATATTAAAACTATTGATACCCATTTGGTAATTCTATGAAAGTATTGGTACTTGTTGCTATCGAAAATCAGAACTTACCATTTTTTTTTATGAAATCTGTGGTACATCTTGAACTTGTGCAACGGCACAAGGATTGAATATAGTACTGTACAGATTATATAGGTAAGAAGAATTGGTTAATTCAACGTGCTGAACAAGTCATCCTAATTTTAAAGAAATTAAATGTTGTTTGTTCGCTGTCTCAATAAACTTTCATTCGATCGAATCATACGTAACGATACTGACTTTAACCGCTAGTGTGAATCAGGCTTAATCCCCGCTGCGATCCTTGAACGTTCACATCTAATTATATTTACGAGATTTATAACTTTTTTTTGGAGGACAACGTTTAACACGAAAAGAGAAAAAAAGAAACTCTAACTGCACGGAATTTTTTTTCAATCTAAAAAAAGGAAGGAATCGTTTATTTCAATTGTTAAACACAAAATACTCCTCAAAATGAAAAGGAAGTAGTATTTAAATAAATTCTTTCTTACGGAGTTTTAAATGAAATTCATTGAAACGCATCTTTGGGTGGGTTAAAAAATATGCCACCGTGCGTTAACTGTCGAAAAAAAAAAAAAAAAAAATGTGAGACAATTTTAAACCCACCTGATCCCAAAGAGTTAAACTCGAGTCCTTCCTTTTTTTTTTAAAGAAATCATTTTTTTTAGAGAATCAAACAAGGAACGCATTAGGGTTAAAACGGCTGCGTTTCCCGACCTTGGTCGACATCCTGCCCCTAAAGATCGCAGCCACCGTGAGGAACTTGGCCAGCCTCGGGTCGCAGTAAACGAACATGTTGTTCGCGTGAAATAGCCTCTGCGTCAGTTCCGGAACCGTCAGGATCGTGTACGGGCGGGCACTTCGCGAGAGGAGCGGCGCGTACGCCGGCACGAAGAAGTGAAGCCTGGGGAATGGCACCAGGTTGACCAGCAATTTCCTCAGATCGGTATTCAGTTGGCCGGGGAATCTGAAGCAGGCCGTGATGCCTGACACGTAATTGGATATCAAGTGATTCAGATCGTTGAACGTCGGCGTGGCGAGTTTTAGGACGTGCGTGCATATGTGATGCAGCGCCCGATTGTCGATGCAAAACGTTTGGTCGGTGCACTCGATCGATTTGCTCAGGCTGAGCATCGCGTTGTACGGCTCTACCACCACGTCCGACATCAACGGCGACGGTATCACGCTGTACGTCTTTAGTATCCTCTCCGGATATTCCTCCTTCAGCTTGGTCATCAGCAACGCGGACGTTCCGCCGCCGGTTCCGCCGCTCAGTGAATGAACCATTTGAATACCTAAAATGTTAAACTAAACTAAACTAAAACTAGATAGACAGTTTGTAAGAACTTTTTATATATCGTGGATATATTGTGTTTGTCGTGCGAAACATTTCGACGTTTCATTGGCAGATGCTTGATCATTCTAATTGTATTGATCAATTTCTTGCGCTGGAATTACGTGCCACGTCCCAAAATTGCAATACCTTTTTTCAGTTTTAAGTATATTTAAATATAACCTAGGCAAAAGAAATGATGAGTTTGTTACTTCTTAATAATTTCTATGTGATATCATGCCGACACGAGTTCAAACGAAAAAGAAAGCGACGAATTATTGTACACGGTTCGGTCACTCGTTATGGTCCGCGAACCAGTTGCCAGCGCAAGGTGTTGGATCATCCAAGGAGTATAACATCAAAGACCACGTTTCCTTTCGTGTCTTTTCATCTGCATATACGACTGAGTCGTGACTATTATACGCTTGTTAATAAATTTAAATTAAATTAAATTAAATATTCGAGAATTGGAATACAGGAATATATTCGTAAAAGTTCTTTTGCAATGTAGTGTTCGAATACTTTCGTGAGCCATATTCGATCATTTGTAACGACAACAGCAGCAACAACCGAGACGACGACAACGAACCTTGCATCAAATCGCAGGCCTCGACTTCCGAACGAATCAGATCCAACGCAACATCGGCCAATTCGGCGCCCTCGGTGTAGTAACCTTTTGCCCAATTGTTCGCCGCGCCAGCCTGACCTGCAGCCATATTGTCAGGCTTGAACAGTCTTCCACACGGACCCGACATCACCGCGTTCAAGCTTCCTGGATCGAGATCAACCAAAATAGCTCTCGGAACGTATCTACGACCTAAGGGAAGCTTTCCTTCGTCGTTGATCCCCATCTACTTACACGATGTCTCGAAACAAATACCTGGCCCTTCTACGAAATACACGTTTATCCGTTGCAGCTGGAGCTCGGAATCTCCTTGGAACATCCCGTCCACGGTCAGACCGTGCTCGTCCGAGACCACTTCCCAAAACTACGAGGCAAAGTCAAAAATCGCACGCCGGAAATGGGGTTAGTAAACGGAATTCACGTTTGGTTACCTTCGAGCCGATGTTATTCCCACATTGGCCAACTTGCACGTGTACGATCTCGCGCATCTTTCTTATTTTTATGTTTCTCTTTTAGGCGTTCTCGACGATGAATTTTTGGTTGAATTTCGTTCGAAAGGGGGAAGGAAGGAGGGTGAAGAAACGTGACGTTCGGCGAACGATTGAAACGTGACGTGAAAGGGTGAAGTTCACTCCCGTCGAGTCATCGTTACTTCGATTTCTCGCGACGCAGCAGAAACGCAAGAGACGAGGAACGATCTTCGATCGTTCAAATTCACGCGATATTTCAGATGCCATAAAGAATATCTATTAAACGTTCAACAAAGGTAATACAACGTTTTTCTAAGTTACTTACAAAATATGTATACTCGTGTATTCGTGTATATGCTGTTGGCGCGTGCGCGTGTTTTCCGTGTGTCCGTGTGTGAGTAAATCTATCATCATAATATAAGGTGTATCATGCGAGCATTTTCATTGGTGGCATGTGTGTACATTATACATACGTAAAAATTCGTCGAAAATAACAAATGTAAAAAGATTAATGTACAAATGGAAAACCAGCTGGTCGAGGGGAGGAAAAAAAAAAAAAAATACAACGGTAAGAAAAATCTCGTTCGCGAAACTGTTTAGTTCGCGGCGGTGGCGGTTGTTAGGTTGATCGACGAGGAATTCGCAGTGAACATCATCTCGTCTCGTTTCGCTTCCACCCTTTCACTTCTCGGTCTCCTCCTCCTCGTCGAAATCACTCTCGTCCCTCACGGTGGCCTCTTGGTACTGCTGATACTCCGAGATCAGATCGTTCATGTTCGACTCGGCCTCGGTGAACTCCATCTCGTCCATACCCTCTCCAGTGTACCAATGAAGGAAAGCTTTTCTCCTGAACATGGCGGTGAATTGTTCGGAGATTCTCTTGAACAACTCCTGGATAGCCGTCGAATTGCCGATGAAGGTGGCCGACATCTTCAAGCCACGTGGTGGGATGTCGCAGACGGCCGTTTTCACGTTGTTCGGGATCCACTCGACAAAGTAGGAGCTGTTCTTGTTTTGAATGTTGAGCATTTGCTCGTCGACTTCCTTCATTGACATTCTGCCACGGAAGATCGCTGCTACTGTGAGGTATCTGCCATGTCTTGGATCGCACGCTGCCATCATGTTCTTCGTGTCGAACATCTGTTGAGTGAGCTCGGGCACAGAGAGAGCTCTGTACTGTTGGCTGCCGCGGGATGTAAGCGGTGCGAAACCTGGCATGAAGAAATGGAGCCGTGGGAACGGTACCATGTTCACGGCGAGTTTCCTCAGATCGGCGTTCAACTGGCCGGGAAATCTGAGGCAGGTGGTTACCCCGGACATCGTCGCCGACACCAAATGATTCAGATCCCCGTACGTCGGTGTGGATAACTTGAGCGTGCGGAAACAAATGTCGTAGAGCGCCTCGTTGTCGATGCAGTAAGCTTGATCGGTGTTCTCCACCAATTGATGGACCGACAGGGTCGCGTTGTACGGCTCGACCACCGTGTCCGACACCTTCGGCGACGGCACCACCGAGAACGTGCTCATTATCCTGTCGGGATATTCTTCGCGAATTTTCGAGATGAGCAGTGTTCCCATACCGGACCCGGTACCACCGCCCAAAGAGTGGGTCAGTTGAAACCCTTGCAGGCAGTCGCAACTCTCCGCCTCCTTCCTCACCACGTCGAGCACCGAGTCGACGAGTTCCGCGCCCTCCGTGTAATGTCCCTTCGCCCAGTTGTTACCGGCTCCGGACTGCCCGAATACAAAGTTGTCCGGTCTGAATATCTGTCCGAACGGGCCCGAGCGCACCGAGTCCATCGTGCCTGGCTCCAAATCGACGAGTATGGCACGTGGCACGTACATTCCTCCGGACGCCTCGTTGTAGTACACGTTGATCCTTTCCAACTGCAAGTCCGAGTTGCCGTGGTAGATGCCGTACGGATCGATGCCATGCTCGTCCGAGATCACCTCCCAGAACTAACATTCGTCAACGAGTTAACGAGTGCAAGAGAGCTAGTCAAAGGTTTGGATCGTCGAACGACGAACGCGAACGCGAACACGGTAGGTTAGTTAGGTTACTCGATCCCAATGTCGATGATCTTTTCGTACGAACCAACCCACTCGCAGATGTTTCGCGGATGTGGCACACTGACCTTGGCACCGATTTGGTTGCCACACTGTCCGGCTTGTATGTGCACGATCTCTCGCATCTTCGAGTCGTCAGATACGCGGCGGCGGGAAGGAGAAACGTCCCCGAAATTTCAACAACAGCCAGATCGAGATCGCTGAGAAACATCCACGAAGATGGTGGTGGTGGTGGTGGTGGTGGTACGAGGATCGGTTTCGGGGACGTCCAAAGGCGGGGAACAGATTCGTGACTTCTCGTCGACGTCGACGCGAACGTACGCGGTTGTCGAATGCGTCGTTTCGCGCAAACAGAAACAGACGAACGTTCGTCTCACCTTGGTGACGCGCGATCGCGCTCTAATCGCGATCCTATTCGTCACACTTCCCCGGTCTATTTTCGATTCTATTCTCGATGCAGCCATCGATCAATTGCGTTTCGCACGATTTACCGCAAAACGGAATAAATAGCACTTGAAGTACCGACAGAGACGCACGCACGTGTGTGTGTGTCCGTCCATCGATCTGTCGTAGATAGCGAACGTCGATCGTATCTACCATTCACTGCGTTCGTCTTTGTTCCACGATGACAACGGCGACTAATGGATCGTCGACGCGTTTATCGATGGGACGCGCGAGTTCCTCCTCGCTCTCCTGTCCGGTTGTGCTCGCGCGCTCCACGGACAGGACCGAATTCTCGGTGTCTAGCTTGGCCTCTGGCGTCGTTGCTGCTCCCGTTGCTGCCGGTTCCTCTTGCAACGAACGATTTCCCGGCCGACCGTTCACCAGGAATCTCAATGGCACCGACTCCGACTTGTCCACGCTCTCCTTCTTGATAAACGCGTCGTCGTCGTTCTCGCGCGGAAACAACGACTGCGAGGACAACGATGGCGAGGAGGATGGTGGTGAAGACGAAGATGGCGACGAGGACACCGACCTTGGCAACGTTGGACAGGACCAGAGCTTGAAGTCGGCCCCGAACAGCTCTCCCTCCTCGATCGTTTGCGGCAAGTGAATGTTGAGAGTCTCCGGCAAGAAGATGGACGTGAGGGCACCAGCGACGCTCAGTGTGCCCATTATGATCAGCGGCAGGACCCTCGAGTACACCGCCAGATGAACGATGTACGGGAATGCGAGCAACCCGATACCAGCGATGAACGAGGCGATGCCCATTGCCTGCGATCTCAACACCGTTGGCAACAGCTCGCCGACGAACACGTAGAAAACTGCGAACGACGCGGCGATGCCGAACTTGCCGATCATCGCCAGTGACACTGTCACCCATACGGCGTCTGCTGCGACACACGCGCGTCACGTGTTAATTGCCAGAGCGAGGAGAGACAGTGAGGCTGGTACGTACCTTCGGGAACGAACATGCAAGAGACGCAAGCGACACCACCGAGTAGCATCGTCAGGCAGAGCACCCATCTTCTACCCAGCCGATCCATCGCGTACCACGTTATCACGTACGAGGGTATCTCCACCAGTCCGCCTGCAACAATTGCAACATTATGCCGATTATGATCGAAGAAACAGACAGAGATCGCGCGCGTCTCCGTTGCGTCTCGGGTTGCGACGTGCATGCAAAATGCGTGTTTACGCGAGAGACACGATCGACGGGCCAAGGTTGACTGGTAACGAGGGGAAATGTCGTGGTTTTACCAATGAAGAAGGCTAGGTAATCGGAGACACCGAGATTCGTCGCGTTGTACGACAGCCCGTTGTAGACGACCGCGTTCGCCACCCAGTCGAACGCCAAGATGAAGAACTTCTTCCTGATGTTCGGGTTCCTGATCAGGTCCATCGGCGTGGCCGCCGGTGGTGGCGATCGGTCCTCGGCCTCGTTCGACTCCGGGTTCTCGCCCGAGTTCGTCCCGTTGCACGACACACCCTGCCTCCGCAGTATCTCCACCTGAAACAACGATACATACAATGAAATTTGTCTTCTTTCGCCTGTTGGACGATTGGATTCTGACGCCAAACGACAATTAATAACGAGATGTACGATTATAGTACATTTTCAAATTGACAATTTCTGTTTCTGACTTCTAAGGGCAGAAAATTTTACTCTTCTTCCTCCATACATTCCTCCTCCAAATTTCAGAATTTACTATGAATTGAAATCAACGTTTAAATTAAAATTGTTATGTCCTTATTTTATTGTTGTTATTAAATTAAATTAATAATGTTTTTACTTTGTGTATTAAGTGCGCAAATATTTAGACAATTCTGAATTACTGAATTAAAATTTGATCTTAACGTACACAGTTAGATAGATACTTGGGTACTTACGTAAAAAAGACAAATAACAATAATTAGGCGGCAGAGTGTTCTATTTGTTGTTGAAATTTTAAAATAACTGTTAAATATTTCTTGTTACACTGAGTAGGTTTTATCAGTCACTTATTATAGACGAATACGAAACTTGAAAATCGTAACAAAACGTAAGAAAAATATCAAACTTTTTAATAGAGTTGTACCAAGTGTCCAATCATTTGTGCATGGTCTAATTATTTATATACATATAAATATATATTTAATATAAATAATATATATATATATATATATATCTTATAACAATATATCCTATAAGAACGAATTAATTACATTACAGAACACTTTACTGCGGTTTCAAAATCCAAAAAGGACCAAAAACAGATGACAGATGATTTTTTTCCTTCGCGCAAGTTCGTTACCTCCATTTTGCGCAGAAAGTTATTCGGCACCGTTCTACCGTTGATCTTAGCCATTCGTTGAACGATCACCTCCGCCTCGTCTATCCTGTTCTTACTGAGCAGCCATCGCGGCGACTCGGGAATGATCCAGTAGTAACTGAAGAGAAGAACGAATGGAACCGAGGTGGCCAACGAAAGGGTGAACCAATGCCTGAGCAAGTAACCCTGTGGAAAAGAGAAGGAACACAAACTGGTTTGAACAAATTCGAACATGATCACAGAATTTCGTGTAACTCTGTCGAGTATTTCTTTTTTTTTTTTGTTTCGTTATTTAACGTCGCATCAACCACTTTGCGGGTTATTAGCGACTCTTGTATAGTTTTAGATATTGTAGAAGGTTCTTGGTTGTGTTGTTATCCATTAGGTTTTGTCTTTCAGAGTGGATTTTACGTTGTACTCTAGGAGTTTTACGGTGTATTTTCTACAGTCCAAGACATCATCACAGTGTTAGTGGCACTTTGCATAGTTCACAGTTTGGAGGTTCTCTTTTGTAGAGGTGTTGATGGGTGAGTTTCGTGTGTCCTATTATTTCTACGTTGTTCATTGTACATTATTTCTTACCAGCACGGCTAGAAGAGACATCGCCGACGCGAAGAACATGCAAATAACCATTCCGGCGAACGTTCTGTACCTCGGGCCCATTAACTCCAGAGCTGAAAGCAAAAGAACGGTGGAAAGAACTGGCTCTGTGAGCGAGAAGCTCGGCGAGTGCACCGTACCTAGTATGAAGGGGATCTGATAAATGGCTGGAAAGGAGAGGCCGTTCACGGTCCTCAGCGCCGTATAGATGACGTAGTTGGGGCTGAAGCTGGTGGCGATGGAGAATATCACCTCGAGGAAGAGTATGGCGAAGAACGCCGTCCTCCTGCCCCATTTGTCCGCGATCCAGCCGAACACCACGTTCCCAAACAGGCTGCCGACGTAGAAGAAGGTCGTAGATGTGGAAGGCCACCAGCTGTTGTCGCATACCAAGTCTAGCTATGTGGATGCAGTCGGCGATTAAAACGCGAGTTCTCTGCCGCCGTCTCGTTACCGAAAGGGAGATTTGTTGCGAGAAGGAGGCAGTTGCATTTCTTTTTATACATTTTGGACACGTTGAACGTGTATACCATCTCATTGAAAGAAATGTTTGACGTTTCTTGCTAACGTTGAGAAAGAAGATGATAGCTTATTGATACTCTAATACTCTAATACTAGTTTATTATTAATTAAATTAATACGATGATATTAATTTATCAATGTATTATTATAATTAGACTGTATTGTTATAATTTTTATGATCGGAACTAAAGAGATAGAATCCAAATAGAAATTTGTTGAAATCTTATTACATTGTTGTTGTGCGTTTTCACAACCTCCTAAACGAAGTCTAATATTACAATATTAACCATTATAAATTTTTATCGTAATAATTATAATAATACATATTATTATATTTAATATATCAATATTGTTATATATATATCAATATTGTTATTATTAATAATAATATCAATATTATTATTAATATATATATATATTATCAATATTGTTATTAATATTAATTCAACAATATTATATTAAGTTTGATAACAAAAAATCACCTAATTCTGGGTCCTCCAATTTTGGAATTGAATTTATTTAATATCAAATGACAGCGTTATAACGGGACGTTGATTACAATAAATTTTCAAGTTGAGTCGACAATTAGTTCTGAGACATAAGGGGCCAAAGAAGTTCAAATTTATTAACTCTTTAGGGAATGGTAATATGAAAAGTATCCTTTTTGGTGTTTGAAAATGCACGTGCGAAACGTTATCTACATCTTTAAATCGTGACAATTCTGCGTTTCGAGCAATTGAAATAAAACTAAAGCCAACCTTTAGATTCGTCAAGTGATTTAAAAAAACTATTCTCAGAAGTTCTACTTGAAAGATGACGAATCTGAAGAGAGATTGTCCAAATTGAAAATATTCTACTTAACATGACATCAACGCTCCCCACCAAAACCGTCTTCTCTTGCTCGACGCAGTACCGAGTGCAGAGTTTTTATCATCTTTATCTCTCTTCCTTATCAAATTTCAAAAATATTTTACGTTTCCCAGAATACCTCGCCATATTTTTGGCGGAGTTTTTTTTTCTTTATCAAACATAAAACGAAGAAAATGATGAAATTCAAATTCAAAGTGATTCACCACTAATTATTAATAGCATTAATATTACTAATTTAAATAGTGATTCACCAATTACTAATATTACTAACAGCGTAATACGAATAGTATGCATTTCGGTTTCGTTTCGCGTGAGACCTTTTTTCATGCGACTTTTCTTTGTTCACAATTACACGTTTTCTTTTGCAACAGTTGTTTTATTCACAGTTGCGCGATTTTTTTGCGCGTCTTTTTCCAGAAGACGGCACAATTCTAATAAAATACGCATCAATTAATTTGCAGGAAACGATAACGCAGAGGTGATGACAACGATGATGAATGTTAATCTTCTTCATTTCCCTCAACATTCTTTAACACGAAACGTAGGTGTACAGTACACATTTAAAAGAACCGTTAGAAGAAATATTATACCACGAATTTTTGAAAATTTCAGATTCAGATTCGTTGTTAACAGTCAGCAAAATCATTGGAACTAACTTTTTATATTAACAAACGGAGAGGTCCGCGTACCGACGTTGAAAGCTCGCTGCAATTGACGTTCCAAAATGAGCTTTCATTTCCTGCCAAATTCAGTCCACGATCAAACGTAGCATTTGAAATGAAAGATAAACATTTCCTACACAATATCGCATAGTTCAGCTTAAGATTATTTACTTTCTTGTTGAATTGAAATATTGTTTGAAGTGGTTACTTGATTTTACCAACGTATTCGCTGTGTGCAATAGAATTTTGCCGGGGGACAAATAGTTTATACAATTGAAGTTCATATAACAGAAATCCGCTGATTCCCTCTTCTGCCAATATAATTTTTCGTTCGTGCAAATAGGAGTTTCAGTTGAAATAAGTGGATTCAACTAACAAGAGCCATTTAATCGGACACTGACTAAAATTTAGTTCAAATAAATGGAGTTGGTATAAACGGAGTTCTATACGGATATGTTATATTATATTATATATTAAATATTTAATATAATATTATATTATATTATATTGTTATATTATTTAATGTATAATATCTATTTATTATTATTTGCATGCAACGAAATGTATAATGAAACAGTTGCAGTATTTGGAAAACTAGGACACATTTTTAACAATCACATACAATATGTACAATAATATGTGGAGATTGTTTTATAAATATAATATATTAATTCTTTCATTCATCATTGTGATTTTACTAGAGAAATTGTTTAGTTTCGCAGAACTAGTTGTGAGACGTGTAAATTATTAAAGACAAATACACGAAATGTTAATTAAAATATTTAAAGTATTTCGTCTTTTTCACAGCTGTTTCTCTCTTGAAATTTCATTCACGAGATTCACGTGTTTCAAATAAATATTTTCACTGTTACAGAGTGTCTCATCGCGAACACCTGCCGAAATATTGACGATATTTAACGAACGTTTACAATACAAATAACACTCGCATTTTACGATATTTTACGATACGCCAGACAAATCTCAAGATCTGTTCCCTCTCGGAACAAGGCGAATTTACAATTTCATTCTATATGTTTTCATATCGTCAGTAACGTTCAAAAATATTCAAGTGGATCGACTTGGACAATGCAACTTGCATCGCTGCAAAACAAGATAAATTTATTAATAAAAGGTATTGCAGTTATTACTCCCGATATTTTTAAATTTCGAATATGCCCCTGATATTTATTTCTTCTTTGTCAAAAATGCAACTGCCTCTCTTCGATTCAAAAACAGGAGGGGGGCAAAAGTGTGCGAGGCGAATCGATCGATCTCGATCACTAGGCATCCACGCGTACGAGTTCTCCCGGATCTTGGGATTCGTACCTACGTTTGCAACAATGCACAGGAGCAGGAGGGAAGGGGACACGTAGCCGCGTGTCCCTCCTCTTTGACAAACAAATTGCGCTCACGTACTCGAGCGCGCGATTGCGACGCGATTGCGTTAACGCGTCTCAGCTGCTCGACGATATTCCCAGCATACATAACGCGTCACGGAAACCTGCGCTTCGATTCCTCGAAACTCCTCCAACGATTTTCCATCGGGGCGTCGCGAGGAACAGGCGCCCCCCCTTGTTATTACCGCATTGTCGGCGCGCGACAAAGCAGCCGCCGACGCACGTGCAAACAAACGTTAAACGATCGAACAGAGACGTGTGGAAACGAGAGACGATCGTCATCGATCGTGGTCGATCAGCCTCGGCAAATAAAATCGGCCGGCGACGGTCGGTGGCGGTTAAATAGGTTCAACACGAACTTTGATTCAAGCAAATTGCCACTCACGGACTTTTTGATGTCTGCGTGAAACGCAAAAGGTAAATTGCATGGAAATGCGCGGGAGCGCTCTCCGACAGCACGGACACCGAGTCGGCGTCCGAGTTATTGTCAAGGGCAGCGTGTATGTACACACGCGCGCGGTAGGACGGTTTAACGACGCGTGCGCTCGCGTGCGCGTTTCATCTCTCACCCTGACACACTTCGAAAACGATCCGGTTCGCGTTGCTTGTTTTTCGTCCTCCGACGTTCGTTCCCGCCAATCTAGCCCCCTCCCTCCCCCGCGACTTGCCACCAGAGGGAGAAGGGCGGGGAGGCGACGAAAGCTCGTCTTTCCACTCTTTCCGGCCTGGGTACATACATCCAAACGCGCGGTTTCGTTCCGTTTGATTTAGGCTCACGCGTGGCGTCGCGAATTTCGGGGCGGGTAGCGCGCGATCTTGGACGCACACCGGCTGCCCCGTTCGCGTCCGACGACGGAAAGGGTCATCGCGCGCGCGGACCGTTGCGAAAGTTGCCGAGGCGGAACGGAAGGACAGGATTTGCCTCGATCGCTCTCTGTGCGTCATACGTCTGCGTAAATCCGGAGCGTGTAAATACGCGGGCGGGCGGGCGGGCACGCACACCCTCCACTCGCCGGAGCAATACGCTCGGAACACGGGCGGGCACGAGGAGGGAAACACGAGGGGGCTCGAGTAGGCCACGGAATCGCGGAGCAGGAGGAAGGGGGAACGGGAAGGGAGCAGATGGGGAAAAGAGGGAAACACAAGATTCGACGAGAAGATATTTCATCACGTCGATTCCTCTTTCATCGATTTCGAACGTTGTCGAAACGGAACGGGTGGCGGTGGCGCGCTGGGGGCGTACTCACTCCGACCGGAAGTGACGCATACCGGACAACCGAATTCGATCGTTTCGATCAATCGTTGTTTACGTCACGAAACGAAAAACGCGGACGCTGAAGCTCTCTCTTTCTCTCTCTCTCTCTCTCTCTCCCTCCCCCCTCTCTCTCTCTGTCTATCTTTCTCTATCTGTCTCTTCCTCTCATCGCCTCTCCGATACCCTCGGGCAGAAGCGGTGCCGGCAGTTCGTACGAGGCATTTGATGCGACAGATCGCATGACCGGATGCGGGGGTAGGTAAATTGGTCGGCAATTGACGATGTCACCGGAGAGTCGCAAGCTATCGGTCGATTGCTTCGGCCGCTCCTTCACCCCTCCCCCCTCCCCCTCCCACCATCCCCCTTCGGGTTTACCTGGCCGACCGCGAGGAAGCTCGTCTTCGAGACCTCAACTACAGAGGAACGCGCCCGAGCAATCCGCACGGCGCTATCGTCCACTCACGCACGCATAAACGCAGCCTCTTTTCGAGATAGATAGATAGATAGATAGATACATAGATAGATAGAAGATGGACGAATAGATGGATAGATAAACAGAGAGAAAGAGAGAGAACCATGAACCGAGAACCTCGCACCTAGATCCTCGACCCCGTGTGTGTATTACGATCTCGTTACGTGCCGCGACTAGCACGGTTCACCAGCTAGTTGTCTAATTGCGACAATTTAATAACGCGTTAATGGACCGCTCACGAACGAGACCACCGCGTGACGAGGCCGCTCGCGCGTCTCTCTCCTCGCCGTTGTTTTTCAGAAAAAACGCGACGCAAAATTTCCTCTCCATCTCTGCTTCCACGAACGCGCCGCTTGCATCTATCGGGTGTCGTTCTTCCGGCTGTGAGATCGGTTCTAAGCGCATTCGGCTTCGACTAATCGTCGAGAGAGAATACGGAGAAATCGGTGCGAGTCATCGTCGGATTCCGGCCCTCGAGCTTTCACGGAAAAGGGAATTACCGAGCGGAAAGAGGAGCTTAACGAGCTTTACCAAGGATCGACCTGTCAGACGATCGATCGACCGGCCGCTCGAGTTGAACTCGTCGAGCCGCGTGGATGGACGACGAGACAAAGGCCAAGGCGAATTGCCCCGCGAAACTCGACACTCGGCTGGCTACCAGAAATTCCTTCGAACAGACCGATTAACGCGGTTAGGAGAATTATGTAAACGAACGCGCGGACAACGAGACTGCCACTTCTCTGTCGATGTACCGAATCACGACCATTGAGAAACAAAGAAAAAGAAAAGAGTGAAAGTCGAGTTTACCTCGGTGACCAGGGTACTGTCGTAGTCTCGGTTGTCGTAGATCCATCCGTGTCGACACTTGGTCACAGGCCAGTCCGGGTTACCGACCGGCGGCGGTGGCAATCCGCTCCTCGATCTCGTCCGCTTCGCCTCGCCATCTTCCTCCGTCGCGTTCTCGAGGACAGCGTTCTCCAGCCACGACTCCACGATCGCCGTGTAGTTCACGTCGTACATCTTGCACTTGGAGTACTTCTTCACCTTGCCATCCGACTTCTCGACGTAGGGCAACGAGAGCGCCTTCCTCTCCTCCAACGTCATCAGATCAGTCAGATTGTCCAATTCCGGAATCCTGCACCAATGCTCCGGTGACGCGCTCACGAACACCTGCGTGTGGCGAACAAAACACACGACGACGGTTTAAAGCTGCGTGGAAAAATCGATGGAAAAACCACATAACGAGAAATCATGTATCAACGGACGGGGACTCACTTGGGAAAACGCGAGGAAAGCCGCGGGAAGAGTGGCCGATATGCAGAGGAGATAGTACATGATGTTCTGATATTTGCCCTTCTCGCCCACGTGCACCAACACCTCGTCGAAGTCGATCGAGCTCATGTTTCCGACGCTGTCGTTTCACCAGCGCGTTTCACGAGCAGCAACGACCACCACGACGACGACACCTTCGTTACGTCGATGATCCTCGGCGATTCGACGGTCACGCGAAGACGACGGCGACGGCGACGACGACGACGATGATGATGATGCTGGCTCGAGTCACGCGGCATGACCGCCGCTACGCGTTTTCGAGGGCATGCACCAGCGGGGGCGACCACCACCTCCTGGTGTTATCCTCTCCTCGCGGAATCGCGCTTCACCGAAACGTTTTCGTCCCTGTTGCTGCTTCACCAGCCTCGCTTCTCTCGCGATCATTCGACAACCACGATCACGACCGCGATCACGACCACGATCCAGCGTCGCTTCGCGTCGCGCATCGCAAACCGCACGACCTACGAAACTACGCAATCTCTTCTGTGCGCGAGAAACACGCGGTCAGCAACGATCGGTACCGATTCGCGGATGAGTGTCGTCGCGATTGTCCTCCGTTTGAATCTACCATCTACGGTCGACTCTCTTTCTCTCTCTGTGTCCCGCTACCGAGGTAACGAGCGGCGCTACGAAACGCTTCTGCTGCTTCGAATTCGGGATCGCGTAAAGCGCGGCGAACGCACGTCTTCGCGCGTTCTTATACGTCGCGAGCATAGCGCCAGCCGCGATCAGCCATTGCCGGTGAACACCTCCTCTCTTCCGATCCTCCCGAACATCGTCGTCTTCGACGGCGTCCCTCCGCCTCACCGCTGGCTGCTGCTCATCCGTCGCCGATCCTACGGCCGAGTGAAATTTTTCCATCAACCATCGCGAGTTCCGTCTGCTTTCGATCGCGCGTATTTCTTTTTCTCTTTTCTTTTTCTTTTTTTTTTTTCTTTTTTTTCTGTTCAAAGCATTCTACGCACCCTTCCTCCTCGTCTCTGTCCTTGTCTCCGCGTCTTCTCCTTTCGTCTTCACTGCGGTACTTGTACTTTGCTCGATCTCCTCCCACCTGTCGCACAACATCGATTCGACGTTGGCTTATCTTCGAGTGGCGATAAAAATTTGCGGCAATTAAAGAAAGAAAGAAAGGAAAGAGGAAGAGTACGAGTTTGACGGGGTAACACGGCACGCGGCGACGATTTCGCAACGAGAACGGAATGCGAGCCTCGTTCCCTTGGTCGGTGAACGAACGTGTGCGCGTCGTTGCGACTCGCGACGCGTCGTGATTCGCTCTAAACGCGCGGCAAACCGCGAGGAAACGCTGGAAACTAACGAGAACGTCTCGGCAATTTGTCCGTCCACGCGACGGACGGTCGGGCTGGAAAGGTTGCAGAAACGAGAGATGCGAATCGTTCGGCGACCCGTTCCCCCGTCCTTGTTCTCGTCTCGTCTCGTCTCGTCTCGTCTCGTCTCACCTCGTCTCGTTTCGTCGCGCCGTTTCCTCTCGTTTATTCTCGTTTCGAGTTTATTTCAACGCGCGCATTCGTTCCTGTCGTCCCAATAAAAGAAAACGTGCGGCCCGATCGAACGCGCGAGACTTTGTCCTCGTGTGAAATGAACGTCGCGTCGTCCGGCCGTCAATTGAAATCGTCACGACATCCGCCGCAAACAGGCTAGCTGCCTGTTTCTGCCATTTCTCAACAAAAATCGTGTTATCGTAGCCGTCGATGGTACCTGCTCGCCGATTCTTCATCACCCGTTTAAAACCCGGATTCAGCTCCACGTGACGCACGCGGTCGCATCCTCGAGCTCGCTGCAATTGCGAGTGACGTCGCAAACAACGTCATCCCGCTTCGCACGCCGTCTCGTACCCGCTTGTGCTTACTTCCTCTTATTCGGGCCAACGCGCGTTTATCGTTCTTCGTTTCCTCCCCTTTGGCTTTTCGCCTTTTTTTTCACGCTTCTCGTCGCCTTTCGTCGCCGATCTTCTCTTTTTCTTTCTTTTTTTTTTTTCTTTCTCCGTCTTCCTCTTTCGTTTCGTTTTTTTTTTTTTCCTTTTTCCTTTTCTTTCTTAATTTACTTTCAGCCGTTTGCGCACGAATCAGATTTTTATCTCTCACGGTTTCGTTCGGTCCCGTTCGGTTACGCAATCCGACAACGCGAACCGCCTGTTTCTCGTTTTGCGCGCCTTTTTATTCCCCGTCTGTCAACCGCAGTTGCTTATCTCCGCGTTCCCTATTCTTCCTCAACTTCGTTCCCGTTGTCGCCTCGCGCAGATTTCTATAGACAGACGACAATCTGCAAACAGCTTGTTTTCGCGACGATCGACTGCAATAATTTTATGCAAATATCAAGATAACGTAAACCGACGACGGCTTTGCGCAGCTCTTGCTACCGGTGTTCGTTAAACAACGTAATTTATGGCTCGGTCGCGGCTGAAGTTCCCGTCGAAATTTTTCCATTTCATCACAGCGACGTCGCGTGCGTTTCTTATTCTTCTCGAACGCGTTCACGTCCTCGCGAATACGCCGCGCGGCTGTCGCCCTCCCCCGTCCTATCGCGGCCGATTTCCAATTTCTCTTTCAGCCGTCAACGCGATAAAAATCCAATCGTTCGCGACCGATACTAGCTCGTTTCTCCCCCAACTTCGCTACAAGTCGTTTCGTTCTATCGCATCGTCTATTGTGTTTTCATTTTGTTTTAAACTTTACTCCCTCTCCCTCCCTCTCTCTCTCTCTCTCTCTCTCTCTCTATTTCTCTCTCTTTCTCGTTTTCTCGCATGAACAGATATTTTTCGCGATTGCCATTCGGCTCCTTTTTCGCTGCAACGTAAAAAGGTCTTTCGTTAGAAGTCTTACCGATCGAAAAGGGAGGCAGGCACGATCCTTCTGAAATTTTCTCGATGAGTCACACTAATCCGACGAGTCAACGAAAGATACGTACGTTCGCTCAGCGTCGTTATTTACATTGCGGAAGCACCTTCTCGACACCCGCGTGCGTTATTCCTATATGTATACTGTGTAATAAGGAAACTTACTTTAATAGATTCGTTCACTACACACGGTTCATCACCCACGTCGTCCATCCGCGGTACATCGATATTCACTATCTTCGATTCTTAGAATCTCGACTCGGCTCGGCCGCTCCTTCTCATCCTCCCCAGAACGCGATCCTACATCGACAACGCGATACCTCGAATATCATCGTGTTCGTTTCATGGATTTTCACGTTTCGCGCGTCAATCTTCGATCAGCCCCCCCTTCGGCACTCCTCCTCCTTATCCAAACTTCTCTCGCGACCACGTTTGTTTCCCGCTTATCATCGTCTTTCTTTCTTTCTTTCCTCCCCTTTGACACTTTCGCTTCCTCTTTCCCTCTCGCTCCCTCTCTCAACCTCCCTCTCTCTCTTTTTCCTTTCCTCTCCTCCCCCTCCCTAGTTTGCAGTTTACTTGCTCTCCCTCGACACAGGATAGACCGACGACGGCGGTGGCTACCACTAGAAGGAGCAAGTAACCTCCATCGCGAACTGAAACTGAAGCAATCGTGGATACAAGGGGTCCGTCCACGGCATCCCATCCTCCTATCTATCGTTTCGAACGTCCCCCTTCGAACCCTCCTCTCGCGCTCATGCTCCGTCACCGTCCCCCTTGTTCCACGCTTCTTGGTCCTCACGTTCTCTCTCTCACTCTTTCTCTCTCTCTCTCTCTCTCTCTCTCTCTCTTGGTTTCTCTCGACGTAAACCATCCGTATGCGCTTCCCTCCACGATCCTCCGGGAGCCTCCTCCCCTCCCACGCCGCCTCGATAGCCACTCTCCTATCGCACTACACGCTCGGCTACTATCTCGACTATTAATATAAAAGAGGGTTCCTCGACACTCGCCGCCCGGTAATTGCACGGCGTGTACCACAAACCGGACCTCTATCGCTCACTCGAATTTACGCGTACACTCGCGCTAATTCTGTCCTCCTCTTTCTGCTCCGCCTATCCTCTTCGTCCGCCGCTTCTTTCGAACAGTCGCGCGTCTACCCCCTTTCCATATCCACCCTATCTTCACCTTCTGTCGTATTCGTCGAGTATCTACGAGTAACAGACAAATAAGTACTTAGTCACCTTTCTCTCGAGGCCGCTTTACCTTTAATCACTTTTCCCTGTTCGAGTCTGCGTTCGTCGACTTTGATTTCATCAGTTTCAATTGATTTCAAATGGTTTCGTCGTGATCGTTCCATCGACACAGTTACAGACGTTGCGATCTGTAACAGTTTTATTTGCCTATTTTTTTTTTCTTTTTTAGCTTCTTCATTCGTTGTGAAGACTCTTAGAAAATGAATATGTACATGTCATCGAGAAATAAGGAGAAGAACGCGTATTGTTCCTGTAAGGAAATTTCAATAATGCACACAAGGTATCCCGTCTAAGAGACGCGTTTCCATGGCGACGCAACATGGCGGACAGAAACACATGCACGTTGTAAATATTTTCCTACTGTGCGCCGACTATGCCAGATCGTTCGAGTCGAATTATTTTTAATTTTCGCGAAATCCAGTGAACAATAATAGAAAAATGTACAGAGGCGATCGAGTTTTAAATTGCAAAATTAAGAAACCAAGACACGTAAGAAGACTGAACTTTGGCCAATCGAACCGAACCTCAAATGTGATTAAGCAATTTCAGAATGATGTATGGCTAACTGACAAAAACCTGACAGACGCACCGTGTGCAGGAAAAAGCGAACCTAGTTACAAACAGAGCGAAATGTACGTCAATTATACAACAATCGAAACATCACATTGCTCACCCGTTTTCGGTACATCTGTTATAGTCTCTACAGAAACTTCGCCAATTTTAGGTAAGCAAATATCAAAGATGAAGCAAACGAAACGTGAAATTAACAAAGGAATGTTTTTTTTCTTAAAGGTACTGTGAAGCGTAAAAAGATATATGATATCAACAAAAAAGAAAACATCAAAAGAAATCTATTTGAATCTCTCTCAGATTCAGTTCCTCCTAATGTTTCTCCAATACTTGGAAGTTCATATTCTCATAAAGGAACTAAAAGAAAGTTTGGAAGAAACAAATCACACAGAAAAGTCTTAGATCATATTCAGAATATATATGCAGAAACTGATGCCAAATCTCCGTTAATTTGTACCAAAGTATATAATAGACCAAAGGTATCTCCTATTTTGAATAGAAACTTTCATTACAAACACAAGCGAAGGAAGCAAAAGGAGGAACAGAATACTTCAAATTTCCAAACAAATGCAACAAACTCTTGTGATTCGGTTAACAAAGAAATCTTTCAAAACAAACGGGGAATTTTATGCAATCAAAAGCAATATGCATCGACGACAGAATTAAAAGGTTGTTTTCAAAGTGATGTTTTAAAGCATGGGTTAGATTCGAGTATTTCAGACGATTCTGTAACGTCGCAGTCATTAATGACCACAATAAAACAAGATATTGAGGGTAGTCCTAAAGACATGAAAATTGAAATTGAATCCAGTAACGAAGATTGCGATAGCGATAAAAATAATATAAGCAACGATACCGACAAAGACTCCATTGTTTCTAATTCTATAGAAGAAGACGCGGATACACAATATGTAGAGCCTGTTACTGGAAATCACAAACAAGATCAAATATCTTCCTTTCATAAATTTACATCGTTGTACTTGCCATTGTGTAACAGAGATTTGGATGACACACACTATTCAGAGCCAGAACAAGTTCAATGTATGCTTTCCAACGTACGACGTTCTTCTCAAAAGATTTCTCAAACTTCCTCGCATCGGGATACAGATACGAAGTCGTCAACCCAAAGTAAAATTATTATTAATGCGGAAATACCACCGGAAAAGACGCATGTAAATGAGTCCATGATGCAATTAACTATTTTAGATTCTGTGAAAAAAAGAAGAAAACCAAAGCGGTAACTTTGTTAAATATTGATTGTTACAAGTGTAATTTGCTGTTGCAAATTCACTGTTCACGAAATTTACTGTTTCTTTATCTTACGTTGTAGGGGCAGTTTGGTGGAGAAACTGCAGTTAACAATTAATAGCCAAGTATCGTTTATACGTATATGGAGACATCGATTGAAACAAGCGATAAAACAAAACGTTTCTATGCCATCCGTTACCGTGTTTGTACGAACATGTGTAACACGCTTCAGCAGACAGTTCTTGGAAGGAGTCGTTATCGAGGATCCATTTAATTTGCTATTGCACGGATCAGAAAGCAATGTTGTCAAACCTATAAGCATCATGACGATTCCCGATATTGCAGGTAAAATTGAAATGACATCCAAAGGTCTAGTACAGATCTTCCCACCGTGGGAAACTCTAGACGACGAAAAATCAACATTGAATGTAACGTACATACGTGTTATGCTTGATTACAAAACAGACGGTCGACTATATAAAGAAGATTTACATCAGCCTAAAATGTTGTTTGTTAAAGACTTTCACTGCCGGTGTATTGATAAGAACACAATGTTTTCGGATTGCAGAGATCGGCTTAACAAACCAAACGTTATCGAAAAGCTATTTACCGATTGAAAGGACAAACAGACATATTCGTCGACCAGATGTTATATATGTATAATATTATATATTTTCGTTGCAAAACATGTCGAACGCGACGTGATGTTTGTCAACATTGTTATTATAACTACTGTTGTTAATTTGTCTCGTTGATTTTTATTTTAATAGTGGAATTATGCAATTTGTTATCTATAATAAATTTGCTCTGGCAAATCGCTCGTCAAACGAAACTGGCATTTTTGTATGCGTTTACATTACCCTGTATATGGCTCATTGCGTGCATACGAGTAAAGCAATTCGAGTATGTCTATTAAAACGTAAATCGCTCGGTAGATGGCTGGTTTTCGTGAAGTGCACAACGCTTCGTTTCCTGGCGAAGCACGACGAGGTATAAAATAGATCCGATATTCAACGCAACGTGACCCATATTTTGGCGATTACTTTATCAGTTTTGTGTTACATTCGTATAATTTCTATTTAAATTAAAAATAAAATATCTTACAGAATTAATGTATAGAACATTAAGTATAGAAAAACTCTCTTATAATTATAAGTCAAGTGTAATACTATGCGACAATACTTTTTTACTCGTATTGTGATACAATTGATCTAAATAGTAATTCCGTGCAATAACTATCGCATTCTTGTTTTCCGAGTTTAATACTAATAAAAATGTGATTAAATAAACAACTGTTCGTTTTTTAAATTACTTAATGAATATGATCTCTCGCTTTTATTTGTAAAAGTTTAAGCTCGTTAAATAATAATTTTCTAAATGAAAGAACTTACTTCTATTATCCAAAAAATATATTGAAAATTGGAAACTGAAAATTAAAGAAAAAGTATCATTTTATTATTTGAAATTAATTATGTAACGTATTAAGTTTTCATGCACAATTTAGTTGAAAATTAATACTACATGTACAATCTTACGCTATATGTTTGTTCATCTCACAACTTTTTAACGATGTTTTAGTCTATTTTCACAAACAATTTTAGTCCAAAATTTAGTCTGCGAGAAATTAAATATTTTATCGAAATGAACAAAAATGTTTCCATCTATGGAACAGAATTTCCAAATTTTTATTTATCCGTAGTTCCAAATGGCAGTTGAAAAATGATTAGATGGCAGTACTATCTACAAAAAACCCTAGAGAAAAATAGATAGATATCAATAATTTTAGAATTTTACTTAACTATATTAAAAGGAAAAAGCTATCAAAATCCATAAAACAAGGCTAGAGCTCTTTCTGATACATCATAGAATGATTTCGGTTAATTACTAACTTCACGTTTCGATATTCAAAGTTTGACAATACTATGGATTTCAAAAATCATATTCTGGCGCATTCACTACTTGATCAATTTCTATCGAATAATTTTACTTGATGTAGTTCCCATACTCACCGTTGTTAAGTGTAGAGTGCGCTAAAAAACCAGTGATTTTTTTACTATGTCGGTATTTCAGGTTACGGGCCACGAAACCCCACGAAAGATGTTTAGTCAATTCATATACTTCGTCTTATCTACCTGGTCTATTCATGTACCTCGTCTATGATATTACCATTGATTAACTAATTAGTTAATGACTGAAACTTACGAACTATTCGTATAAACTATGGTTCATTCTCATTCTAAATTTTTATATAATACATAGAATTATAAATTTTTATATAATATATATTAATGATATATTTTACAAACTTTCACATGTGTAATATATATTAAATAATTGGAAGCATTGTTGAAAATCTTCTACCTCTCTAAATCGCAGAGGGCGTGAAAAACATTGGTTTTCCTTCAAGTCGGTATTTCAGAAACATGAAGTTCCATACAACATCTTATCTATACGATCGTTAGCCAATGCCGTAACATCGTTAATATTTCTTTTCTTTGTTTGTAGTGCTATCAACAATTTTCTGTCATCATTCTCTTGATTTCATGCAGTCCAAAGGAATACAAAACGAAAGTATCTAAAACGTAAGCATTTACGCTAATACTATTCTACCCTATATTTTTATATTTTCCTGCCTTTTATCATTTCGACATTTTATTTTGACATTTCATTTCTATCATAGTTGACCATTGATATGAGCATCTATTTAATAATTGTTTTGTATCTATTGTGTCACTTTACTTTGCCATGTCAAAGATTGATTTAATTGTAAACGATTAATTTAGACAACATAACCTAATTTAGACAACCTAACCCAAACCTAACCTAACTTAATCTAACAAAACTTCATACTTATCCAAACGCGCGTTGCTTTACTACAGGAATAATAATGTCGATATCTCAAGATCGGCCAGAACTTTACGAAGAAGTGAAGCTGTACAAGAATGCTCGAGAAAGAGAGAAACATGACAATCAAGCTGATTTGTATGCAGTTGTAAATACGTTGCAACACTTGGAGAAAGCTTACATTAGAGATTGCGTGACTCCGAAAGAGTACACAGCTGCCTGTAGTAAATTGTTAGTGCAATATAGAGCAGCTTTCAAACAGGTACCGTAGAGAAACTTATCTTGCCTTGTCTCACGTAGTTGAAGACTCTCATCTTTTGTTTTCAGGTGCAAAGCGATCAATTTCCTACAATAGATGCATTTGCCAGAGCGTTTCGATTAGACTGTCCAGCTGCGCTGGAGAGGATCAAGGAGGACAGACCGATTACCATAAAAGACGACAAAGGGAATACATCCAAATGTATCGCAGACATCGTTTCCTTGTTTATTACGCTAATGGATAAATTACGACTCGAGATCAAAGCGATGGATCAGTTACATCCTGATCTAAGAGACCTAGTGGACACCATGAATCGTTTGAGCATACTGCCGAGCGACTTCGATGGGAAAGAGAAAGTCGCAGAATGGTTGCAGACACTTAGCAGTATGTCCGCATCCGACGAATTGTCCGACACTCAAGTCAGGCAACTGATCTTCGATCTGGAAACATCTTACAACGCTTTCAACAAAATTCTTCACAATTCGTAATGTCAGTGACTTGTTTCACGCTGTATTGAAACACGATCTATATGATTGCTGGTTTTCTCGATGAGTCATGTGATTGTTCACCGTTGAGATTACACGAAGAGATATATCTATTTTCTACGCAATTCTTTGTGACGATGCCTATACGATAATATAATGATGATATAACGGCAAATGTAATATATAAATATATAAATCAATGTACATATGGTATTAATCGAAAAATAAAACTAATTATAGGTGCTTCTTATTACGTTGGGTATTGATTGTAGAAATTAATTCGCGATCCTCGCGGTCAATCAATTGTAATCCTATTTTTAGTTAAATTTTTCAGATTATTCTGAGAATGAAGGAATACAAAAGAAATTGAAGAGTTAACAAATGTTGTTAATTTAAAAACTTCATAAAACAGTAAACAATTGTAATATAAAGCGTTAATATAAATTAACACAAGATCCGCAAAATCAAAAAAGTCGGCTCAAACCTAGTTTATTATTTTTCAATCAATGATATATTACTTCAAAAATTGAGAAATTTTTACTCGAAGAATATACGAAGAAAAGCTTTGCAGCGTCTCTTTATTCCACTGAACGAAATTTGTTTTTAAGTGAAAATAATTGGAAAAGTAGACGCAGTTCACAGTGGATCCTCGTATTATTCATGAAGCAGTTTTAGCGACGCAACGAGGAGGAAATAATTGGGAGGGAAGACCGATTATCGTCGGGAATTGGTTCGTGGAACATTGTAGATTCACGCTTTGACGACCGCAGAAATTAATTTCCACGCGTTACTCGCTAATCTAATTCTCCGCGTGCCATTTGAATGGCCGACCCACCCCTAGTGTTTTTGTTGCCGCTTTCCGTTTCTTGAGCTTTCCAACAGGAATCTCATACGCGCGTTATTAAACCCCTTTGTTGTTTTCTATTTGATCTCTGAACTGTTTCATTAAACGTAAAAATGAAAGTTGCAAGAATGTCATTATCTTGCAGCACTTAACTCTGTACATCTACTATTCCAGCAACATATATTTTTCATATTTTTAATTATTATACACAGTAGAACATGAACTAACTGATATAGTTAATATCGAGCATCAGGCAAATTCATAATTGATCATCTTTTGTTATCCTTACTGATTATTCAAATAAGTAAGACAAGGAAGAAATTTATTGAGCCTCTATTATTATTTGAATTTCTTGTTCCTTATTGTAATTTTGCTACATCACTTATTAATTATACATGCAACGTAGAAAATATAAAATCACCATATGAAATTGCACAAATATACATGAGAATTTTACAGAATTTAGTCTATTTATTATTAATAAAAGAACTTGCGAATTTAATTACTTATTTTTTCATTATATGCGTTAATTTTTACCATTGTGTGAATTTTATATTAAGGGACAAACTAAAAATGAGAGACGATGAGGGTTGAACTATACAGGGTGTTACCTGTAACACGACACACAATTTTTTCATTCACTTGCAGCCATCTGACAAAAAATAGTTTAAAACAAAAGTTGAACGATACAGGGTGTCAATAAAAAAAATTACGTAAACTGTTTTCATAGCTAAATCAAGGTCACTTTGGATTAAACAAATAGGAATACATAATTTTTTTCCACCGTATCGTAGAGAACATCGTGACGTTAGATAAGGAAAGCAACAGTGTGCAAGGACCCTTCGATCTAATGAAAAAAAAATTGAACATTTTACACAAACGTTCTTCCAGGACAAAACACACATAGAATGAAAGCGGGTAGCCTAATTTTAAGGAGGCATATAAAAAAGTTCGCAAATTATTCCTATTAATTAGATTTTTTTCGTAATTAGTGCGACGTCACAAAATGGGCATGGTGGCGCCATCTAGCGGTGACTCACTGGTACTAATTATTTATGAAAATGCTTATTTCTGCATTTCACGGGTCAAATGAGGTATGACAAGAAAGCTAAGGGTCTAATTAGGGTAATACAATCGCCAAAGTTCATAATTCATTTCGCTAAGTTAGGTTTTCTCGCAAATGAAAATTTCTCTGTTTTACGGGGTAAGAATCACTAGCACCGCACGGTGGCGCCATCTACTGACAAATCGGTGGTACTAAAAACAGAATTTTCTACTTTTAATACCATCGAGTTATCAATAGATGGCGCCACCGTCGCCTCTAAACTGACAGGTGACAGTTTTCGACAAATTACGAGAAGAAATTAATTAAGAAAAATCATTTGCTTCCACGAGCATATATTTCAAAGATAATGCTATCAATTACGTTCGCAAATAAATCGGAAACTAATATTCACTATAATTTGCGAGAAATTATGTACTCACTACTGGCAGCACTACTAACGTAAATGAAATTGAAACTTTCTTTATATACGAAAATTATACTTAAACAAAACATACAACGCAAGCTAAGGGTCTCTGAAATCGAAGATGCAACCATAATAGTTCACAAATGATTATTCTTAATTAATTTCTTCTCGTAATTTGTCGAAAACTGTCACCTGTAAATGTTTAGAGGCGACGGTGGCGCCATCTATTGATAACTCGATGGTATTAAAAGTAGAAAATTCTGTTTTTAGTACCACCGATTTGTCAGTAGATGGCGCCACCGTGCGGTGCTAGTGATTCTTACCCCGTAAAACAGAGAAATTTTCATTTGCGAGAAAACCTAACTTAGCGAAATGAATTATGAACTTTGGCGATTGTATTACCCTAATTAGACCCTTAGCTTTCTTGTCATACCTCATTTGACCCGTGAAATGCAGAAATAAGCATTTTCATAAATAATTAGTACCAGTGAGTCACCGCTAGATGGCGCCACCATGCCCATTTTGTGACAGGTCGCACTAATTACGAAAAAAATTTAAATAAGAGGAATAATTTGCGAACTTTTTTATATGCCTCCTTAAAATTAGGCTATCCGCTTTCATTCTATGTGTGTTTTGTCCTGGATGAACGTTTGTGTAAAATGTTCAATTTTTTTTTCATTAGATCGAAGAGTGTCCTTCTCGCACACTGTTGCTTTCCTTGTCTAACGTCATTGGACTAGGAGGGCACTAGCGTGTGATAAGGACACATACAGACACATACAGGGTGTTACCTGTAACGCGACACACGATTTTTCGCCTACTTACAGCCATCTGACAAAAAAAAGTTTAGAACAAAAGTTGAACGGTACAGGGTGTGCAATAGGTGTCAATAAAAAATTTCGAAAATTCTTTTTTTTCATAGCTAAATCAAGGTCACTTTGGATTAAAGAAATAGGAACACACAATTTTTTTTCCACCGTATTGTAGGGAACATCGAGACGAATTCAAAACGTATGTTACATGATATTTTTATTAACATGTTACTCCATTTACAGAAAAAAAGATATGTACATTCAAAGCGGGAAAGATATGGCGTTGGAAAATGCAGTGAAAGTTGTAACAAGCGTTCCTTATTCTTGTAGTTAATGTCGTGTCGCAGGTTTCGACTTTATCCAATAGGTTGAACGCGACGCGATAATCCGCTTCTTGCCGCGCAGACAAATCGTCGATCACGTTGGTCGGCACCATAGGCCGCCGCTAATCCTTGGTCTGATCCGAGATTAAGTCGAACGCGTTCCTGCGTCGATGTTCTTGCGGCCAACGTTTGGAAATGACAGTCTCTCTTTTAAAAATTAGAAATCTGAAACGTATATCGAAGAATTAAGAATCTGTATTTTTAATACATATGTACATACGTGAATCCATTAAAAACTCATAACGCTGCGTCGACGCAATATGTCATCTGCAATTCTTTTAGATCAATTTGATATTGAAAGAAAATTCCAAAGATTAGGCTGAGCATTCTTTCATTCGTTGTGTCTTCATCTGGTATATTCTATAATTTTATAAAATTTCAAAGAACTTAATTATTTCTATTAATAGGATGTATTATTCTTTGTTCGTTAATAGGTTAAGAAATTAAACTCCACGAATGCATAATTTTATTTAGATACTTACATATATAGAGTTGCGAACTTGTTAATTTATACTGCATTATATGGCTCTAAAGATGAGATTTTTTACTTCTTTCTAAATGTTTCGATGTCAGCCATTGCGTTTGGGTCAGGCGGGCCCACTGATATACATAAATGCGTTTGATGCGCATGTGTCTAATACGCATGCGTATGCGCATGTGTCTAACACGCATGCGTCTAACATTTATAAAAATACTATTTCGTTTTTCCAAGAATCGTTTTAAATCCACTAATATGACAATTAACAAAAAAAGGGAGCTAAAAAACAAATTATAATATATCTTTCAGTTTAAAGATTCTTTCAAGTGAATAGTTTTTAATGCGACAGTAATTTTATCGACTTAACAAAACGTTGCTCTGTACGTAATTTTCAAATATTCATATCAGGGCCGCGAACATTTGAAAATCGCGTATAGAAAAGGGAATATGCTTTTCCATTATATCTGTATAAATTAATGTAATGTTGTTATAGAGTTGTTACGACAATAAGAATTTTATAAACTGCAGTCTCATAACTCACAATTAGAACAGTGGTGTAACTTTCATTATTGATTTTTCGAGGAAAACAAGTTTTTGTAGAATGTTTTTGAATGAATTGAACACGAGAGATATAATGTTACTAACATTCATTTTGTAATAAAAGTTACAACTATTTTACGAAGGCAATGGAAATGTAATCTTATTGATAATGATAAATTCTACTAATAAAAACAATAAAACTGAATGTTAATAGAGATACGTATGCACCGCTATTATTCCAAATGACACGAACATTGAACGTAAAAATCGCAAATTAGTGAGGACAGAACCAGACCAGAGAGGTAGACCGGATGTTTCGAATCGAGAGCCGTGAAGAAACGAAAGAAGATTGTTGTAAATTGTAAAGGTAAGAGAGGACGAGAGGGCGAGAGGCCTCGAGTTACCTCCTGCCGAGCAAACCAGAAGCCAGGAAAGTGGCGCAATGCCACAGTAGAAGAATCACCGTGGAGTTTCGTCTTTCACCGCAAAACCGAGCCAGGAAGAAGCAAAAGCCTGTGTTCTTGTTTGTTTTTAAAAATCGAAGCAGCGTTGCTTTCGTAACAAAACGCGTGCCCCGGTTGTACTTCTTCTCCTTTTCTCTCCTCTTATTGCCACTACTGGTTAGTGATGGGACCAAATGTGTACTTGGTATAATGGATACCATGTAAACTCAAGTTACGATAAAAGTACTGAAGAAACTAAAATCGTATATCTGACCTTTTACCATATTTCAATGTAATCATGATACCAATTCATTTACACATTAAATGTATACTTTCATTGATGTGATCGATAATCAATGTGTATAATAGATCATAGATTTTTATTTTAAACCCTGTATATTGAATTTTAAACCTAAAGAAATGGAATCTTAATACAAATTTCTTTCATCTACCAAGTATAGTAATAAACTGCTAAATTACTAATACTAATAAATTATTATTGGAATTTATAGTTTGGATATTTTGCAAAACCTGCAGTCAAATAATCCGAGTAATTTCACAAATGGACGCAATTGAACGTCACCTTTGACGAGTAGCAATCAAATCCTATGATGTGAACTTTTTATAGAAATTTTTGCTTGATCTCGCGAATACACGTCGCACCCATCACTACCACCAGCGCTGCTATTCCTTTTTCCCTTTATCTCGAGGACCAAAGTACGCATCGAAATAATAAAAAAACGGTCTGCTTTATCGTCGATTCGAGAGAAACGAAGCATCGCGTGCAAGTCCTCCACGCTGCGAACAATGAATTCTTCCATTGTTTCGTTCGATGTATCGTCTGCGGAAAAAAGTTTGCTAGTCAAAATGAAACAATGAGGGGTTGACGTGAATGAAGAGAGAACTCGCAAGGCAAAAGGTCTGCGATCGCTCGACCATCGAGCTAACCGAGTCGGTCGTTTCGATTATCGCGTAATTACATTACTTTTGGAGAAGTACAGCTTCGAAAAGTTAACTCTCGCGAGCAGCACCCGTGGCACGCTTAACCTGCCCGAATAGAAGGATGATCGATACCACGCGCCGTATGGCACGGAGTGACGTGGTGTGGCGGCAAGCAAAAGCGAAGTACAAGCAAATTCTCTCTCTTTCCCCTTAATCGATCGATTCAATGCAAGTAGATGCGTGAATGGATTTTTAGTAAGGCTCCCATTTCGCGCGAATGTAACACATGCTACAACTTTTCAAGCACTTCCGGTAAGTAATCTGACGAGAAAGTGTTTTAAACAAAAGTTGATCTCGTACGAATTCCAAAATAGATAGCTCCGAACGTAAATAAAAAGATTTCCATCAAATAGATAGCTCCAAAAATAAATAAAAAGATTTTCTAAAACTTCTTTTTGATAAAAATATCAAGAGTACCTCTGTTTTTTGAATTGAGTATGTGTTGTAGCTCACGCCAAGACGAGATCCAATGAAATCTTGAAATGATTGGAGTCAAATTAGAACGAATTTAGGTATTCACGAATGGTCGATTGTTCGTAATATATTATAACAAAATCTAGTATCAAGACAGTTCTTGCATTCAGTCTTAATTTGTCATCGGATCAAATCGTAGCTTGATCTTAATTTGCTGAAGATGTATTCCTGTAATGAAAATGTTATCACGTTGTTAATATTTGATGAACGTGAAAGAAATGTGCATGTACGTGTATATGTGCACAAACGTGTATAAACTGGAAAGTGTTGCCTTTACTTAAATAGAAAATAAACGCGAAGACATATCTTGCCATTACGCGTGTGTTAAAGACACGGATCCTTAATTCCTTAATACACGGTTTTACATTTACCACATGTACACGTGTATTTTAATATACGTTAAAAATTACGACATAAATCTAACATATATCTGACCGTAATCCAAGAATACGCGACCATTGTTTCGTGGTTGGAAAGCGGTTCTAAAATAGTCCGAGTTGGTCACTTAAACACTAGCAAAATAATAGCTAGAAGACACGCGAAAAATAGTTAAAGAAGCACGTTCCGTATAAAATTAACGATCGAAATCGACTTAACGAGTGTTGGAATATATTAGAGCTGCTATTCGTCCGAATTTGTAAACATTATTATATAAATTAAATATTACTATTATTACAATAATAATATTATTATTATTGCGCGCGGATGCTTACGCATTTTTGAGAATTTAAACGTTTCAAAAATCTACGAAATGTACATAATATGTAAAATTGTAGAGAATAAAGTAAAGCACGTATTATAATATTCAGCAAATGAAATTAATAATTCTTAGAAATTTGGAATTTGTTCATCAGAAAAATAATTACTTCAATAGCAATTCATATTCTCAATTGCAGAAATAATTACTTCAATTAAATGCATGATATTTTCAAGAAGCTAGTTAAACGATGCGATCAACTGTATTTAAAAAAACATTAATTATAATATTAACATTATGACATTACGATTAATTACATTTAAAAAATGTTTCATATGCATCAACTTAATATCCACTCTGTTGAATATGAAATTATCTCTTCGAAGAAATTAGATATACCTATCTATATCTTCCATTGAATGGTGACTGTTTCAAACAGCTGACAGTCTCTTAGTATCCGCTGTAACTCATCCCTCTATGTCCTTCTTTCATTTTCTTCTTTCTTCAGATTTCCAAACCACAACATAGCCTAAGGGGACAGGATTAAATTATCTACTGTTACCTAGGAGGAGATCGAGGTCATTAGCGGTTATGTTTGCTCGTACATCAGAAGAAAATCGTGGATATCATTTCACCGGAATTTTCTTTTCAGGTAATTAGAGAAAAAGGGAGAAAACGAAAACGAATTCAAGGAAAATAATGATGAGGGACCGAAGAAAAAAGATAAAAAAGTAAATCTTTTCGAGAAGAAAAAAAAAGAAAAGAGGAAATGAATTTCCTTTGGAGATGGATCGACGTGACGGAAGCTCAGTATGATCTCTCGGGTGTAGCATGGAAACGATCACGAACCATCTTGTCAGTTTCTAGCGTGTTTTATTGATCGGATAGGATTGTAAATACAAGTTGGCAAATTGATCGGAAATACAATCGGAATACGTATATACAAATATGTACAACGCCGATCTTGATCCTCCACGCTGGCTGGGAGAAACAGTTTCACGAGTGTGCGCTGCAACATCTATTTTAAATAAGCTTATATTCGAATAGCTCTCGTAGCTTTCGCTTCGAACGAAGCTGAGAGACGCTCGCTCGCATATTTCTACGTACAAAAGAGAAACAAAAAAAAAAAAAAAAAATGGTACGAAAAAAGAAAAAAAAGGGGGGAGGGAGAGAACGACGTTGGTTAACAACAATGAAAAATAGCGCGATTAAAGCAAACAACTTGGAGAGAAAAAAAAAAAGAATAAAAAATGGGCGCGACAGAACCGAACGCGAAAAGAAGTAGACGAGAACTTCTATCGGGGTGAGGGACTAGAAAATCGTTTATTCGACACGTTACTTTTCGTTACAAGCGTACGAGTTTGTGCGCATGTGTGCTTGCTTGCTTGCTCGTAGCGTGTTCTGCTTTACTTGCTTCACTTCTCATTTTCTCTCTTCGTTCATTCCTTCCTTCCGTCCTTCTACTCTCTTCCTTTCCTTTCTGCTTCCTTGCAATGCGTCTTACTAAATATCCATGGAGCTTACCTTACGCCTACACGCGACTACTACACTTATACGTATCGATATGGATAAGAATACGACCGGGCTGACGATCGTCAGGCGAAAAAAAAAAATATTTTTCGACTTACCTACTTCGTCGAGAACCGGCGGTCTCCGATTCGACAAATCTCGCTACTGGCAGTGATCTTGCGTGTGAAAATTCCGCGCGCCGAACGAATTATTATCGTCCATGTTCGCGCGATAGAAAAAGGAAAAATGGATATTTCGAATCGTTCGGCAGGTCGTCTAAATGTACTTACAAAAATTGTAAAATTTATCAAAAAAGATTGGCAGTGTCAACTTTGTCAGAGAAAAAAACGTCGTTGCGCAAATACAATGATCAAAATGAGAGATCGAACATGAAACTGTTGAAGTTTTCAATTAGCTCTGAAATATGTTATTAGTTGTGCAATGTTATCTTTTCTGTTTCAAGAAAATCATTTTTCATTTAAATTTAATTCCTCGAAGAACAGAAGAACGTCTTTACGGACACTGAGAAGTTTCTTTTTCATAGTTAAATCTATCACCATCTCAAAGATTAGAACCTCCTCTTTACAACGATGCCTTAACATTTGTTGTATGATTCTTTTCTTCACAACGCAAGAGTTTCAAATATTGACAGGTTTTCATCGATTGTAAGAATAAAACTTTCAATACATATAAAATTGAAACATGAATTCCATTCGTATACGAAAGAAATGGAAAAGAATTTAGAAAGATAGAGCTTCCCTTAAAATTGAGAATTACATATATAAAAATCACCATTTTATTTTCTCCTCTATATCTATTCTGCTTTCAATCAAAACCTCTCAAGTCTCAAGTTAACTTGAAACAGAAAAGATATCGAAAAGTTCAAAGGTCACAATAAACAACCTTTGCTTCTAAATATTAACAGTTTCGTTCGATTCCTTATCAAAATAGTATCGCCGAACATCGAGCAGCAGTGAAAACAAAGTTTACCAAAAAAAAAAAAAAAAATACTGAGCCACTCTTTGAGATCTGCAGAATAAGAACTAAAATTAAGTATGAGAAAGTTGTAACAAACGTCGAGTCGTCGTCGTCGTTGGCCAGTGATTCAGATCGTCAGTTGGTATCACCGAGATTCTCCTCGACGATCTTCTCGAGCTGACCGTTAAATTCCCTGGACGATTTGTCGGTCGGAGCCGAGGCGGAACCGAGCGAGCCGACTTCCTGCAAAAGGCCCTTCTTCAGGACAGTTAGGTACCCCTAGCTTTGAATCGTGTCCGTCATGTATTCCTCGTGCAACGCTAACAGATGACGAGGCACGTCCAACGCCGTGTGCAAGGTGACAGTCACCCCGCGGTTCAAGCTAACAGCCGGATAGAACACGCCGTACAGATCGCGAAACGCGATTCCCCCTTGCGGCTGATCGTTGACGAAGAAACGAAGCGTGTGCGTGGTGTCCAGATCCAAGAGAACGCCCACCGTCGAGCCCTGTTGCACGCCACCTTCGGTTCTTTGCGCGTGCCCTCCGCCGTGCATGAACCAAGAACGCTGCCGATCTATGTACATGCTCCAACCTTTGTCGTCCTTGCCTAAGGATTAATAATGATCCAGAAGTTAACATATTGCGCACCGAACCTGCTCCCAGAGCCCGAACATTTTTGGAGCAACAAGGAAACTTTGTACAATGCATATATGCACTTCTTTAATTTAGATTGATAAAATATTCTTAAATATCACTATATATTTTTTATAATAATTGTACGTCTCCCAAAATGATTGAAAATGATAACTTATGCTGTTTTGGTTGAACTTATATTCTTTTGGCCGATCGAAGATATATATTGTTTCATTATTCAGACTCACCTCGGTTTGACGAAGTTTCTCGGCAACGATATAGAAATTTTTTGACTTTTAGTAAATATGCTGACATAATTTAATTGATAATTACCATTCGTCAATTCTACAACCGACAAACGGTCACAAGGAATTTGAGAATAGGCCGCTTTTGTCTTCCAAAGATCGCTTCCAAAGCGAAACGTGAGCAAACCGAGCGCTAGGATCAATAGCCGTAGATTGTGCCTAAATCAACTTACCGAGCATTCGATCCCGCGATACTTCGGCCCTGGCTATACCAAACGCTGGATCTGTGTCGCTGTGATAACGATCGATCGTCAGCTCCCAATAATGAACGCCCCGTGAAAATCCGACGCTCGATAGGACGACTCGGTGCTCGTAACCCTCGCAGGATGCGCTCATCGCGTCCTCGGAAATTGATACCTCCTGTGGTATACCGGACGCCCCGGTTGCCCACGAGAACCACGCCACTGTCCAACAAAGGATCCCCCAATTAAATAATCGACCGATCGATTCTGCTAGCCGGGCCATTGTTCCCGAATGACGGCGACCGACGAAATCGAGTGGACAAACTCGAGTAATACACATCGTAGTCAATGCCGTCGTCACTTCGATCATCGGAAACCGAACGCTACGCGAAATGGAAACCCCGGAACTATGGCCAAGGCTATAGGGCACACGTGTGCGTTGAAACGCGCGTATCGTGCGTCGTAATGTAACGTGAATGCAAAACGTTATTTTGCATAGGTGAATGACGCACGTTCCTATATGTACATCGATTCCAACGTATCATCTCTGATTACTGAATTAATATTGAAAATTCAAAGAGAAGGCAATATTAGAAACCAGTAGAAGATAGTTTCTTTTTTCTTTTTATCATACAATCTTATAGTCTTATAAAGTGTATAAGGGTAGATTATAAGACTATAAGATTATACGATATAGCACAGGTCCAGTTCCATAAGATGTAGATATTAAAAGTTCCATAAGATGTAGACATTAAGAATTAGTTACAGAGTTAGAAAATAAGAAAAAAAGATGTACAGAAATACACATTGTAAACATCCTAAGCCGCCTAGGCAAGGATTATAATAAATAATAATTTTGAAAATTCGAATGAAACATCTCTTCGACTTCGTATCTTTTATGATACAATGATGTTCGCTCAATTACTCACCACACGTGATAATTCTATTGCTCTTAGAATAAATAATAAGATATCGTGTACAACAATATGACAAGTGATTGATATACGTGCGTGTAATACTTTAATATTTAATAAGACTTGAAATTTCGTTCAGACCTTTCAATTTTAATACGTAAAATATTGTATTAAAGATTTTAATTGGTCTATTTGCACGTTTAAAATTTTCAACATCAATTCTTATTACTAATAAACAGAATATAAGTGTATATTTCTGTCACTTATTGTTTCTATTTCTTTTCACGTATTGATCACTTGTACGTATAATAATCGTTATTTGAATTAATAATAATCATAATAATCAACAATAATTAATTAGCAGTTACTTTTATGTATATGTAATATCATATCTGGTAAAATATATATGTGATAGTTCTATTTTTCTGGTAAAATAGAAACGTAGAATATAATTTTAGCCGTTTTATTTTATACAAAATTATCATCTATTATTTAGTCTGTCAAAAATATTATGAAATTATTAAGCGGATTAATAAAAAGAGCGTCGCAAAAGATATTCACCCTGTATTTCTATAACGTTTCAAAAAAATCGTTTCAACGTCCGTATGAAAACCTAGTCTAAAGCTCGTGCGAGGTGGATACGTGCTATACGTCTCGTAGACCAGAATTTCACCTTTCAACGAAATTCTCGTTTCCGACAGACTCTCGAGGCGCATATCGCACCGAGAAATTCTAGCCGAGACGAGCATCTCCGAAATCGTGTCAGCCTCGTCGCATATAAATATCGTCGTCGCATCGATGAGATGAAATTCTAATTCCTCGTGGCGCAAGTTCGACGGATCGTCGACTTTATTTCCAGCCGACGTCGATATTTCTTTCTCTCCTTTTCTTTTTTTCTTTTTTTTTTTTTTTTCTTCTTACTGCCAGCGAGAAACGCATAAATCGCGACACGATCGAGGAAAATACAAGAAGACGAAACGACGACGCAAAACGAAGGGAAAGAAACGAGAGAAAGAGGAACTCACCCTCGGCAGTCTGAAGCCCGATCAACTCCGAGTATTCGCCTTCTCCGGCGCTGTTAAATGCCCTCACTCTGGCATTGTAGAGAGAATTGAAATGCAATCCGTCCACGGTGCAGATCGTCTCTCGGCCGCAGTACACTTCCTGATCAAACACACGATGAAACAATTAAAGGTCAATTTATACGAGCACTATCCGTTCAGGCATGGAACGATCCCATTTAAACAAACGTTAGACGATGAGATACTAATATTTGTATACAGTGATTACCTAAGGCTAGTAGCTAAAATATTATTGAAACTATTCATTATGTCGAAAAATGTTAAATAATTTTCCTGTGAAGTGGAAAACTCTTATTTTCTGATTCTCTAAAGTTCAAGAATTCTAGCGGTGTTTGAAGTTTCCTCATTCAAAGGAAGTCTACAACCTAATTGAAATTTTAATTTATTAGTTTAACGTGAGTTAAAAGTTACACAGTAAGGAATCAAAGGGAAATTAGCAAACTTCCATAAACTTTCAATAAGATAAGAATGTAAGAATATCTGAAACTTTTATCTAATCAAAAAATGACATAAAGTAATGATTTTATTATGGTGTAGATTATGTTCTCTTATAAAAATCAATCGCAATAAATATCAATTCTAAGTTTTAAACCCACAAAACAAAATCATCACTATGGAGTATTTCAATATATATTCCAAATTAACAACACTGCATTAAAACCTAAAATTTCATGTTTCAAAATTAACATGAATTAATATATAAATGAGTAAATTAAACGATTTACTTCAAATTGTTGGCATATTCTAACCACGACTGCACCGATTGAATACTTACTGAAAAACTTTTGCAAATTGAAGTTTATCACCCCTATTACAGATTGAAAAATAGGAAATGTCAGAAGTGTCAAAATAATTTATATATATTAGTTTTAGTAAGAGGCCACGTTACTTGCCGTGTTACAAATTAAATAACACCAACAGTGTTTCAGATATTTCAAATTATCAACAGCATTCTCAACATGCTACAGTTTTTTTTCTGTTATTTGCTAATGGAAAAAAATTACACCACATTCTCGATTGAATTTACTGATTTGCACGAGCAGTGGCCGGGCCACCTTCGGTATTTCCTCCGACGCGATGGCTCGTCGAGAAATTTGTTATTTACCCTGAACTCGCCACCGCACCCATCATCCAGTTCCAGTAAATACCCTTCGATGGCGGGACCTCGTTGACCGGCACACCCAACGATTCCGTGTCCAGGTGGAGGTTGCCAAGCGACTGTCACGCTGTTGTTCTCCGCGCTGCACTCTTCCGGTATCAATATCGGCGCTCCGGGGGCTACAAAATTTTCCCATTGTACGTAACCGATGACCAACCAACGAAATTAGAGAGACGATAAAGAAACGCACGGGACGACGATTCGGAACGGAGCTCTTGTTTCAGATACGCTCCGGGGACACGTCTCGTCGACGAAACTTTCCCGAGAATCTCACAGAGGCGAAAAGTTCCGCGCGATTGGCGAACGCTCGAGAATACAATCTCTCTCGAGGTTTTTGCGCGAAACACTTTTACGAAACTAAAATTACGGTACGACATCGTCTTTCTAAAATGTCTTGGATTAACTTTCCTTCGGAAAAAAAGGGGAAAGGGAGAGACAAAAGACGACTTGAACAAACCATATATACAGAATGACCTAATAACTCTGTTTTACCTTGAATATTCTGTTATTTGTTAATTTCATGATTTTGTATGATGTTGAAGAGAAACATAACACGATACAAAGTATTTATCTGTATCTTTTTAATCCTTTAAATGTTTAATCCGTAATTGTTATAATCAATAATTAAATAATTGATTTACTTATTTAGAAGGTTCAAAGAGGATATAACATATTACAACATATTGATTAAATATGTATATTAAAAGATAAATGTAATCTTATTTTCTTATATGCTTGTCATTTAGACTTCTCATAATTTTAAACGCTTAAAGAATTAATTGATATGCTACAATTATTTTTGTCTCTATATAATAGTTGGCTTTGAGACGAGTTCAAAAAGATATGATCCAGATTGTTCAGTGTGAAATGCGGTTGAAAATAGTTATAAAATGATTTTTTCTTCTTTTTTTTATTTTAAAATATTTCAAATGTTTTAAATGTTCACGTTCCACTCTATGCAAAGTTACAACTTTTAAATTGGCTCGGTTAAAAAAATATAAATGACACTGAAATTTCCACAAATTGCACACTACATGCTATATACTAAAATTCATTATTTTTCACATTGTTACAAATAACAAAGATATTCAAGGTGATTGAAGTTACTGAGCCATGCTGTGCCACAAGAAAATACATGTACAACGAGATTATAGAAATGTTTCCCACGATAAACTAGAAACGTGGAATTCGAAATCCCTTCGCCCAATTACCTGCAATCGGGAATCGTTCTTCTCCTTCCGATGCTGCGTCCAACATGAGGCAATAGTTTACATTCAATCAATAATACCGAACAAAGCATGTTTTGTGTCCAACAATATATATCTTTCATCTTTCTTTTCCTTGCATCTTTAACAAACCAGAGACGATCTCGACGATCAAAAAGAGAGTCGCTTTTCTTACTTCTTACACGTTATAAACGTCGACTGACTCTTTGATCTGCCTTCCGGCTCAGAAAGAAGAAAAATACGCGGAGGAAGAAACGAGAACAAATCGACCGTAATAAAGAGAAAAGCTCGAAATAAGGAAAAATCGATTCGAATGAGAAACACAGAATTGAGAAAGAGACAGAGAGAGAGAGAGGAAGCTTACGTTTCAACTGAACAAATGTAAGTTGATCGATAGCACGACGTAACGGTTTGTCATCCAGAGTAAGATCGAGCAACGGTAGCCGAGCAATTTCTTGAACACCCTCTGCGCCGCCCCAAGAACCAGCAGCAGTAGCAGCTCTAACCGAGAGCATGCCGCCGATTTGGAGGAAAGCTGCACTATCGTTCTCCTTCAGAGCTTCGATGCAGAAAGTGAGAAGCGCCGTGGTCGCCTGTAGATGAGACGCGCATCTGGCTACTTGGTCCCGCAAAGAACGCACCCTCGCCTCTCTGGTTTGCCGGGCTGCTTCGATTAGCCGAGATTTCCTCGCCTGCAAAAGACTCACCAGATTCGCCACCCTATCCTCTACCTCTTCCTCTAATGCAACGCACTCCTCCTGTTAACATACAACAAGATTGTCAGAGTCCGATTTGTATATCGATAATAATTTATTATTATTAATTTAACTATAAATTTATGTTTAATCTTTATTATCACTGTCATTAATTTATTCAACCAGTCGAATATTGTAATATATTAAGGAGTATGTTATTGTACATGTGTTATTATAATAGATAAAACATAAATTTACTATATACATATATACAGTAAATTTATATACATTAAATATATGTAACTTTAATCTATTAAACATAAATTTACTATATATGTATAGTAAGGAGTACAACTGATTAAAAGGAAAAAAATTACTGTAACTTCTCGTAAAAATTGCTGTAACTCGTAAAAACTTATTAGTACAAGTAATACTAATAATTCGTATTAATAAATAATTAATACTAAATAATAAGTATACATTTCATATATACTATTAATCTTTATTATCATTATCATTAATTCATTCGACGAGTCGAATATTGTAATATATTAAGGAGTATATTATTGTATATGTGTTATTATAATAAATAAAATTTACTATATATAGTAAATTTATATATATTAAATATATATAACTTTAATTTATTAAACATAAATTTACTATATATGTATAGTAAGGAGTACACCTGATCAAAAGGAAAAAATTACTTCTCGTAAAAATTGCTGTAACTCGTAAAAACTTATCAGCACAAGTAATACTAATAATTAGTAATATTAAATAATTATTGGTTAATATATTAAATAATAATTATACTAATAATTCGTATTAATAAATAATTAATACTAAATAATAAGTATACATTTCATTTATTAAACTAATTCTATTAAACTAATTTAGTACTAATAATTTAGTACTAAATATCAAACAAACAATTCAAATGTTAAACAGATTGCCTCTGTAAGAGATTCGCCTCCTTCAAACGATGATTTTTATTTTTTCATTATCGCAGAAGGGAAATTGGACGATGAAAATGAATTATTCGAACTGGCGTTGATAACGTCGAGATATTAGCGTCGCTAAAACGATGCGACCCGGTGGTTAACAACCGGCGTAGGAGGAAACGAACGAGGGAAAGGAGTCGAAATGGTCGACGGATGAACGTGGAATGGAGAACGGAAGAGAAGTAGGAGATGGGGGTGTGGCAGGGGGAGAAAGAGGAGCAGCTGATGTTCTCAATTATCGCGCGCGCACAGTCCTTCCATAATTTCCATAACGGAGGCCAACCCCGAAGCGATGAAATTTAAAAGGTACGTTCAAGATAAATACTCACGTGCACTTTGTCCGTCATTCCTTTGAGCCTCTGAATGAATTCTGTCGTCGAACGAGCTCTTTCCGACAGCTGTTGCAGATTTTGCGAGAGCTCCGTCTGTAACCGTATCAAACGATCATCGTCGTTAATTTTCAAATGACATATTTTCATAGTTCGTGAGTATACTTTTTTTTTTTAAATATGTGAAACATGTTTCAAATGAAATCTAGCTCTCGTGTCTGATTCGATTACGGACAATCATATACAATGTTAACTAGCAGGATTCCATTTTCAAACTTCTGATGAGTGATGATAGAAATAGTTGATGTTTCGGTACTCACCAGTTCATTGATTTCGCTTTTTTTTTTTTTACTAAAGAGTTTTCATTAATTAGAGAGGAGTTTGGGTTCGAATAAATGGATTTAACTAGCAAGAATTTATTTAATTGGACATTGGCTGAAATTTGATTCAAATGAACAAAGTTCCATTCAAATATCGAATATTGCAGTCATCAGGTCTCAGAAGAATGTTTACCGATATGTTAATAAAAACAACAGATAATGTTGACATAAATAAAAAATGAAAAATTTAATTCTCTGAATGTTTAGTCCATGTTGAAATATCTTCGTTAGGAGTTCACTGATTCTCTCCTCTAATAATTTTTCGTCCGTGTTACAGAGATTCAGATTCAAATAAATGGATTCAATCAACAAGAGTTCATTTAATCAAGTATTATCATATATCATAAATGAAGTTTTATCTCACAACGATACAGGTACGCTCTTTGTTTCAGTTAATCAATTTAGCCAATCTTTTGTGGCCAATTACCTGCTGCAAGAAGTAAAGGATTAACAATAAAAAAACCTTCTTCCATCATGAAAGTTGAAAATGTAAACAAGAATTATTATTATTAATCTCTTAATCGCGTCACGCTAACTGCTTATATACTTATGGATAATATCGTATTAGTTCGTCTATCTATCTATTTATTACAATTACTGGTCTTTCATTATTTATCGAACTAGACGAGCATCGATAGTTCGTGTCGAAGAGTAATTGAATTACTCTTCCTCGAGACACTCATCCTCCTAACTACGACCGCAACTTCGTTCCAGCTAATTTCCGCAATTTTACTCGCTAACTTTCCAAAGGAAATCCTATAGGCACTGCGGTGCATCGTCGTCGTGAAATTTTTTGCAAATTAATGGCCAAACTTGTCAACTCTCCATTATCTTTCCTACGCAGATGTTTTTATGTATTTTAAGATGGAAAATTTTTGAGATGCAAAAATTCATTTAATAATGAAATTATACTTAATAAAAAGTAAATAATGAAACATTCAAAATATAGCAAGTAAGTAAAATATTTAATTGTAATTCTATTAATAAGTAAACTATTATTATATAATAATAGTTTTATTATATAATGTAATTATTAATAGTTATTATTATATTATTTATTATTTAATAAGTAAACTATTATTATATAATAACCATTTTCTATCTAGCTTCCAGTTCTATCCACAATTCTATCCATAAAAATATGAGTTGGCGCAAATATGGACAAAGTGAACTGTATTTAATCGACCACGAATTATGGATGAATGTATTTCTTTCATATCGTCTCTAACATCATTAATTTGTCTCTTATTGTCATTAATTTAATTGGTCTCTTGATTATAAGACGGACGTACATGTGTACAAAGGACAAGTGAAGAAAAACAGTTTCGTGAAATCTGGTTAAATTTATTTTTCAATTATTTGGATACGACAAAAGTATCGTCGTATCTCAGGGATATATCGCTTATCTGTCGCAAAATCCACAAAGTCGTAAAAAAAAAAAAGATCGCGCGTCGCTTACTTTAATCTAGACGGCGTCACGACGTGTTAAATTAAAAGCCGGGTCGTCGACCGTTCGTTCTATTCTTTTCCCCATAAATCACGATGCACCGCATTCTCATCAAACAGTGATAACGTTCTTCCTTCCTTCTCCTTTTTTATCCCCATTTATATTTCACGTTAATCAGACCAAAACCATCGTTCGATGCGAGAATGTGAACACTCGTGCATCCACCCGGTGTGCACGCGCACACGTGCACTGCGCGTATAAAATCTTGATGAATAGATGTTCGTTCGAATCGAGCTTTCGACTGGAAGGTGTCCCAGTTTTCATGGCACAACTGGGAAGGAGAGGATTCCACTTGCAAACGAACGACGAAAATCCAAGAAACCCTAGCATCACGTCGTCCCGAATCCCAATACTCAAAGTTCGATAAAATGGCCAAAAGATTCCACGGGTAGGTTTTAATCCTAGTGCTAGTAACTGGTTCACGAACCATAACGAGTGACCAAACCGTATACAATAATTCGTCTTCTTTTTTGAATTCAATATATATATGTATATATTACTGGATAGAAATTACTGATAAGTAATAAATTTATTATTTGTTTCGCCTGGGTCATATTTCAATACACTTAAATTAAGATTAGCTACGTACGCGGCAAATAGACGACTTTAATCTCGTTCTTTCGATCGACAACTTACACACGTAGATAGATTTCCATTGGTCCGTTGATTGATCAAATCAACGTTTGCACCAGCTTCTAACGACGTGCCCTCGACAGCTGTCTTCTCGTTTAACGTTGGATTACGTTTCGCCAGCTTGTTCGAAACGATCATTCCCTCCGACGAAGAAATAACAAAGAAACGAAGACGCGTGCACAGCGAACTGTCGCGCTCATTAAAACTTGTCATCTACATCCTGAAAGATGTAATAAGTTCCAGAAGTTTATACAATCATGGCCAATTAGGAGCAATGGGAATTTTTAACATTCCGTTATATGTTTTTAGTAAAATCAATACCGAGCGAAATTTAATTACAAGACCATCGGAGAATTACACGTGTATTTTATAATTTACATACAGCAAAGTTGAGTGAAAGTAATCGAGTTGTATATCGAATGGGAAAAGAAAAGATTTGCTCGACTGTAAAGTCGATCCGGCAAAAATAAACGACAATAAAAAAAAAAAAAGAAAGGAAAGATACACTTCTGATAATGAACGTGAAATAAATATGTATCTACTCGCGTGACTGTACGATATACGTAGAGACAACCGCAACGACTATAGATTAACCGTGACCAAAAATTTATCGTTCGATAACGGACGAATTCGACGTAATATTTTCACTGGAATTGAGTGAAGCTATCAGATAATTGCCGAACCGCGATCACAAAGCACTCGTTGTGCTACGTACTGACGTACTAAATATATCATGCTGATGTGAAAGATGGTGAACCACTCGCGTTTGTCTGTAAAACGCGATTTTCTAGAAATACAATAGTAGAAACTCCACTTTATACGGACTCCAATTTATTTCAGCCAAATTTTAATCAATACCTGATCCATTGAACTCTTGCTGATTGAATCCGCTTACTTGAATCTAAACTCGTATTATGTGAGCAAAAAAATCACCAATGGAGAATTGTAATTACATAAACTACTTCTTTCCCGACAAGTTCACGTAGGCGAATTGGATTTAAATTTATATAATTGTTTATACGACAATTAATTTCATAATTATTAAATTCTCGATATTCATAAGATTAATATCATTGATGTCCAATTGCTATAATAGAAAAATAAGGATTATTATATATTTCATCAATAAAATATAAAATTTTTAATGATGGGTAACAAATTAATAATAAAATAAATATTGGCATTAAAGTTCAAATAATTCCAATTGTACGATTTTTTAATAAGGATAAATTAAAAAATTTTTTTGATATTAAGTCTGTAATAAAATATAAAGTTAATGAAATAATTATAATTATAAATAATATAATAAAATTATGAAATAAAATTAGATTATCAGTGTATCTTGAAATGTTATTATATTATGGATGAAATATATAAAATAGAGAACACTCATTTCTGAACAAACATTCACTGAATTTTTATTTTAATCCAATTCGCCCTGATTCATCTAAACGGAGTTCTACTGTATTAACGCCTAGTCAAATATCTCTCATTATCCTAAGCTCTTAACTTTCATTATCACTTACACGAGAATTGGTCACATTCGAGAAATCACAGAAAGTCCAGTTTATGCCACGTGTCACGTAGAGTAATTAAAATAAAATTAAAACAAAGAAATTTAATATCACTAACATAATTATTATATTGTGAAAGACGACCCCTTATGGGACCTCTGATTGAGAAAAATCTACGTTCTGTCTACAGACATTTGTCTTCCTATAGCAATATTAACTTAATCAAATATTCTATTATCTTTTTCTCCGATAACTTTTGTTATCGTCTATGTGAGAATTGGTCACGTTCGAGAAATCATAGAAAGACAATTAATTCCGTGCAGCTTACGACACGTGCCGTGTCCTAAAGTAACCAATATAAAAGAAATCTCTAATCGACCCATTCTATACACACCCTATGTCACGTGCAGACACGGCTATCTTCATATTTATTAGGTGGTCCCTGCCCTCAAACAGTGAGTCACCGTTTCTTTCAGTTTCGTTCACGATGCTTTTCCATCGTACACAATGTTTATTATATCCACATTTACAAACGCGTCTTATAAAATAAACGCAATTAAATCTTTCGTGTAAGTTTGTTTGCAGCAAGGACGTAGTCCCAATTGTTCCATAAAATTGGCTCTAAGTAACAAGTATAGTAGTTTTGCAAATTTTCAGTTCCGATGAAGAAAATAATTCCAGAATAAAAACAACATTGTTACTCAACATTAAAGGAGTTAACATATTCAAAACAACACCTGATTTTTGTAATTACTTTCCTGAATTGCCCGAAAGAGGAACTGCCGCCTTATAACAACAGACTCTTTCAACTCGAAAAAAATTTCCACAACCATGAACCACCAGGGGCATCTTTCGACCAACGAGCGCAAGATTTGCAAAACATCGCGACGATATTTTTAGAAGATGAAAGGGAAGGAAACGAAGCGGCTACGGCTCGTACACGTCATAGACCACGAACCGGCTCGCTCCTCGGACCATAACGACACCATAACGCGCACTATGGGGATCATTTTCTAGTATACGAAAGACATCCAAACGAGCCGCATATATCGTTTTATCGAA